GTAACCACAAACATTACTGGAAATTATGAAATTCCCGACCACGTGAAAGTGATCTTAAATCAAGTCGAAAGCCTTGTTCCGATCACTTTTGGTATCCAGAAAAACCTTTGTTGCTATTTCCAACTGCTTTTTGGTTTCAACTTGATTTAAGATCACTTTCAGGTGGTCGGAAATTCTATGATTTCCAGTAGTGAAAGTTCTAAGTTTCACCTACTCCCACCCTTAGTGAGAACAATATATTGATCTTTCTTAGTTTGAGTTTGTTAGCTATAGGTTGATAGGTTGATTTATCTCATTATGGTCCTTTATCGATTAAAGTTAGGGTTACAAGGTTTAGTCCGGTGTATACCTGAATCTCCATAATCTTTGTAATAATGGCAGGTTTTGAAGAGGTTAGTAGTGGCTGTTGCGGAACAGGCATGCTGGAGGCTTCATTTATGTGCAATCCCAAGTCTTACGTCTGCAGAGACCCTTCTAAATATGTCTTCTGGGACTCCATTCATCCAACGGAGAAGACAGCTTACATCTTATCCCAAGCACTTCGCCCAACCATTGATATTCTATCATCTCCAACTAATTAAAATGTTCATCATTTGATCATTGATCATGTCATGTTTTCAAACGACTACCACATATATGTACTCAATTCTGTGTAACAAATAGCTAATGGAAACTTTTTATTTCATTTCCACACCAACAATACACTCCACAATCTTCACCACAAGGCTTTGCAAAAACAAAAATCAAGAAAGAGGTTAATCAGAAGTCTCAAAGAATTAAATTAGTCTAATTGCTATAGACAAGCTAGCTGGGAATGAAGATTATCAGAATCTGCAGAAATTAAGCATATCAAACAGACATAAGTATGCTGCAGTCTTTTCTTCTCTCCCCATGTTTTCTCCCCCTCTTCACACCAACAGATCCCATTTTCTCCATAGCCAAACCAAACTTCTGGAAGAACTTCTGCTTATCCTTGGCCAACATCTGAACCAAAGGCCTGGTTCTGGGGTCTAAAAACAAGGCCTGATCAGATGCCAGCAACCCCATTTTAGCCTCCAAGTTTGAGTAGTAAGCATTGTCGAACGAGAAAGGCGTTGTGACATCAAACGGGGTCACAACATCAGCATTCCCACCAAATCTCGGGCACGTCATCTTCAGAGCTTTCAGAAGCCTGGGATCAATGGAGGGGTCTGGCTGGTTGGTGCCCTTGTGGTTGTACAGCCTGCTCACAAACTGCTTGCAGTGTGCAAAGCCAATTGAATGCGCCCCCGACAGCACAACAAGATCCTCCATTGTTAGCCCCTTGGAGGTGAAGAGCTTCAGAAGCTCATCCACTGTTGAATTGGCTCTAGGTAGATTGGAGTGCACCTTTGACGCCATCGATATCTTCCCGTCCCACCTCCCTTTCTTCACTTGGTAAAACGGCCCTCCTGTCTGCACACCAAACACAGCCTCGATCACTACGGGAAATTATAGAATTTTTGACCACCTGAATGCCTTTTCCGACCACTTTTGATATCCGGAAAAACCTTTGTTGCTATTTCCGACCACTTTTTCTTTCAACTTGATCACTTTCAGGTGGTCGGAAATTTCATAATTTCCAATAGTGGATCGAGCATAACATATATAAAATAATAAAGGTGCAGTCTCACTAAGATAATAACGAGAACCGAACCAAATTAAAGCTCCTGAAATGGATTCAACAAACATAATGTCTGGACAAACAACCTCAGAAAGTTTATTGGTACGTCGTCCGACAGGAACATCAAAATTTTGAAACAGAAAAACCACTTAATTGACTAGAGAGAAACCTGAAACATGATGTTTGTCTGGTTCTGCATGTGAAATGTCAAAAACTTGTACAGCTACGTATAGTTTGGACTGTTGCCTGATATTACCCAAGATTCATTTTGGATTTTTCTGTTAAGTACTGATTGATTAGTACCAATGCACTTTTTTCAGTCAGTGAATATTAATTAGATCTTTGTTTCGGATTGAGAAAATTTAGGATTCCTTAGCCCCTCACCAAGGTTTATATATAGTTCACATGACCAGTAGATAGTCTATAATAATGTAATAATAATTTGAATCTCGTGACCAATTAATGATGAGACATGTGATCTATAACAATTATTAAGAAACGTCTACAATACCGATGAGTACATATATGTATGGTACCTGATAGAATCATGCATTTGATACTACTAAAAAAACAATTTCTAATGGCCTGTTTGGTTGGACGTAATTTGGCTGTAGTTGAATTGTAATTCAGTGGAAGCCACAATTACGCCGTTTGGTTGGAGGGAATTGCAATTCCACAGAATTGCAATTCCCTCCTTTTGCTGAATTGCAATTCATGGGCACCCCCCTATGAATTGCAATTTGGTGGTTGTGGGAAAAGGAAAAAAGGGATGAAATGACAAAAGTACCCTTAATTATTACTACTATTATTATTACACAAGGACATTTTAGTCTTTATATCACTTCTTTCATTCCCTACCCAATAATTCTATTCATTCCTACCAAACAATGTAATTTGAATTCCTACTTTATTCCCACCTTATTCTTTTCCTACCGAATTGCAATTCATTTCCACCCTAATTCCTTACTCCCAACCAAACGCCCTGTAATATACGTCCTCCGATTATACCATCTTCCCTTTTCATCCTTTAATTGTCTATAAAGTAAAATTTTTCTCATCATTATATTCAATTGTTGTAAAATGATTTTTTTTAATGAATTTGGTTTTTAAAAAAGCCCCTTTGTAAAAAATAAAAAGTTATTTTGCAAACAATTGATAGATAGATGAAAAGTGACAACACATATATAGTTGAGGGACGAAAAATGTTACTTTCACCCCTTGGTGCACAACTCAATTAGTTGCATAATAGAAGGATGAAAAATGTTATTTTTAGTTCTCGGGACACAGTTTAATTGATCAACCAAACTCAAAATAAGTTAACAACTTGCTATTTATCTCTCCACCCGTGTTTTCAAAAAAAAAAAAAAAAAAAAAAAAAATCTCTCCACCTGTTGTCTTTATAGTAAAGATTAAATTAAAGATGCATGCATGGACAACTCAGTTGGTCACAGGAGTGAAGTTTGAGAAGAATGACCAGGATTGAGTCTCACCAGCAGTAGTGTGGAGATGCTCAGGCCCCTGGGGTTGGGGATTCGACTTTTGGGAAGAGTGAGTAAGGACTAAAGATTGGTGGGTTCAAACTTATAAAAATGTTATTTTCATTGGCAATCATATCACCTCTAATAAATGGGATTAAAACATCTTTACCTTTTGTTTGGTCCCATTCCCCTCGTATTAAAGAAAAGAAAAAGTAATTAAGTGCAGTAAAGGAGAAGAAACATGATTATAGGTTACAGCTAATTGACTTTTGGCTCAATTAACAACAATGTAAAATATTCCAAGAGTAAAAACAAATATATTTTTTCCTTTCAAAAAAAAAAAACAAATATATATATATATATATATATATATATATATATATATATATATATATATATATATATATATATATATATATTTAAAAAGTGGAAAATTAAAGGGTAGTGATGGAAATTGAAACAGGACAACTTACAAGGTGAACAAAATCTCTGGCTGCAATTGCAAGAATGTCAGCACATGAAACAACACCCGGACACTTGCTCTCCACCACTGTTTTAGCCTTCTTTATGCCATCAAAAGCCGCCATTGTTAGGTCCTTGTTATCCTCTGCATCTTTCTCTGCTAATTGCTTGCTTCCCGCCCTTGTTGATATCAGTATTGATGCATCACAACCCTTCAATAAAATTCATCTTTCAGAATCTATGAAATTTCTAAGAATTCTATGCTTAGTTGAACTGCATGCATGCCATGAATTGAAAACTTGAGGAAAAGGAAAGAGATAGATGAATTATGGGAATGGGATTTACTCCGACAAAGCAATCATGGAAGAAGAGACGAATGGTGGCGGGGCCGACAGCTGGGGAGTCTTGGAACTGCTGGGAGGTGACGGAGGCGACGAGGCGATCAACCTGCGGGCAGGTTTTGGCGTAGTAGTTAACGGAGAGCTGCCGCGGCAGCCGCTCGCCGGAATTAGGCCGGAGGTTGGCCAGAGACGGCGGGCAGGGGAGGAGGAGGAGGAGGAAGAGAAGCAGAAATGTGGAAGACATTGTCATGATGGGTGGTTGGATATAGTGAGGAGTTAAGAAGGTTTAGGACAAAGAAGAAATGGTAGAACCACAGAGAGAGTAGAAAAGAGCAGAAGATGGACCAGAAATAGCCATGTTGGAAAAGAGAATCAACGCCCGTGACGCCCTACATTTATATATAAAGATTTAGTGCTCATTCCTAGATTTCGACTCTTAGTGAGAGCCACCTATTAGTCTTGATTTGAACCGATCAGGTATGGACAATCTAGACTGATTTATCTTATTGTGATTTTTGCTGACTTGAGTCACAAATTAAGATTTATCCGTGTATACCTTCCGACAGTAAGTACTAACATTTTTAGGAGAGCTATCCTAAATCCAGTCTACCCAGAAAAAAATTGAGTCACAAGATTATTATAGTGGGGAGCATGTGCAAATGCAACAAGGGACAAGTCACCAGTTGTTTACTTGTTTCATACCCTTTCTATACCATATTATATTTAAGTGTCACCATACTTTATTGCCATTACTGGGTATAGATATCAGTTCCTCAGTAAATAAATTTGCCTTTTTTGCTGTTTCTGTTAGCTGAAGTGGAGTGAGCAGACTAAAGGTGTGGACCATCCATCACCCTCAGCTTTTATACCCAGACTACAACACTTGTGGCCCTGAAAAAGAGAATAATTCAAAAGGCCTCAACACTTTGTATTCTTACATTTTTGGTTCTGCAACAGGTGCCCACTATCTCTTGTATTGTGCTGACTTCTTTTAATTTGTTGTTATTTGTTTGTAAAACAACATTGTTGAGGTTGCAACTAACTAGAAATGCAGACATGACTGCTTTAACAACATTCTTTACATCAATTTGTGCTTGATATATGGTTTTCTTGAACCTAGCTTCTATGGGTAGATCATGCATTTCTGCTACTTTGTTTCAAGTTGATTGCTCACAGTTTTCACCTGCAAGTCTGCAACTAATGGAACATGTTGCAGACTCGTAGGCTGTTAGCTTGATAACCACAATGTTACAAGTTCGACTAACAGTGAGAGCGGCCTAATTGTTTCGTTGGTTTGAGTCAATCAGTTATAGGCTACTTAGGCTAGTTTACCTCCTTTGCCAGCTAAGGTCACAAGGTGTCGTTTACCCAGTATACATCCTTGGGTATTGGGTAGTGGCTGCGGGTTTTCCTAATTGCACATGAAAACTTGGAGAGTACAAGAAGAATATAATTTTATTGTCACTATAAAGCTATATATGAACAAGAATATACAAGATTAATGCTAAAAAGAATCTTATACACAGTTGTTCTTCCCTAATGAGTTATTATAGTGTAACTAATTCATGGTTGTAATTTGAATTTCGGCTGGATGGGAGGCATCAGACATTTCTGAAGTGTCTGAAGGGCTCACCAGCTCCCATTCTGAAGATCTGAGACTGTTTATATGAGCAAAAGTTGCAGTCTTCATTAGAGAAGCGGGCCTGGCACCTTGTTCGGTTTTAGGCTCATTCTCACCGTGCACCTGACTATTTTGTCGCGACTTTCTAAGAAAGAGACGACACACGAAAACCAGAAAGCATATTGTGGAAGTGGCACCAGACAGCAGGTATAAGCCCCAGAAGCTACTAAGGCTCAAACTTTCTGTCTTCACTGAGGCATCATTGTTCACTAAAGTCATAGAGGAGCCCAGCCATTCTTCTTCTAGTTGTTGCATTGTGCCATCCTCCAATAGAGTCAAGATTGCCTCGGAAAAATCGCGTGCCAAAGGAGAGCCTTTTTGAAATGCCTGCAAAATTAGCAGAACCTTTGATCAACTGTTAAATAAATAAATAAATACAATACTAGATTTAAGTGTACTTACAAATCCTAGCCCTCCAAATCTGTATGTAATACCAGCAGATGTGAAGTCATTGTTGTCCTTGAGGAAGAGCTTCGCGTAAGGAAGCTCGAGGAATGCTGCTTTTATGGTCCCATTCTTCAGAAGCTCCGGGTAATCATACTGGTTTCCAACAATGATGATGTTCTTGAGGTCTAGCACATTTCTCAGGTAATCTTTGACGAACGAATCGCCATCACATCCTACTGGTGCATTCGTTTTCCTTATCCAATCGATGTTTGTCACGCTTGGTTCAAGCCGGGATACGGTTAGCATTGAAGTGAGACTGGCTTGGTAGCTCGAGGTTAGCACGAACACAACGAAAAGCCACACTATAACCACCAGTTTGGTGTAATTGCTCTTAAGATCCTCCTCTGTTTAACAGAAATTAAAAGTACTGGGTTAGTTTCATGCGTTCTGTCTCAACTAAAAGTTTAACCTAATATGATGCACTTACTGTGAGCGAAAAAGAGGGATGAGAATGTGAACCATAACGCGGTGCCAATCTGATCTCTCCGGGCGCCTCTGAATTTTTCGTTGGACTGATGCTCCAAGAACCAGATGATGAACATTGTGTAGAACATGATGGCTGAGGTTACTACCCACATGTTCCTAGTAAATGGCTTCAGAAACATCCATGCTCTCTTGGATTTTTCAATCTTCACAGGAACTATCATTGTCAAGCCTGACTCTACATATGGTTGTGTGAACTCCATGTCTTTTGATCGCTCCGCTAATATTGTTATGTCGCCAACAATCGCATCATAAGTCTAGCATACAACAGAGAAACATCAGGTCAGATTCAACAAATAGTGTTACTGTTAGGATCAAACGCTTATCAATACGCCAAATATAACATTGGTCTGCAGAACAATTGAAGCATGTGCTCCATTTCAATTAAAAGCTTAAGCTGATAGTTGGATTGCACATCAATGGTTATATGTTCAACACAACACGTGGACCACAGTCTCTGAACACATTACCTTTGGCATGGCTCTGATACCAAATTGAAGCATGTGCTCCATCTCAACTAAAAGCTTAAGCTGATAGTTGGATTGCACATTAATGGTTATATGCTCAACAAGAACAAACACAGATAACTGGAAATGAAAGAGATAAAGAAGATGACTTGAAAAGTTGCAAAAAAGAAGTAATTTTTACCTTGTTAGCCACAAAATGAACCAGATCAGGGTAGGTGCCATTGTAAGGCTTGAAGTCATAGTTTACAATGTAGTTTTTCTCCAAGATGTCAAGAACTTTTTCAAATACACAAATGCAGAAACCAGAATACTTGTGTGGAATTTCAGCCCAGTCCACCTTTACAAATTTATCAAATACAGTTCTTCCAGGAACACCAATGATTAATGGTTTTGCATTAGTAGGCATTGCCCACCCCTTTGGAACTCGGTCTAATTCGCCCGGCCAATTCACCAAACTGGATAGCTTTTGTATTCCCCCAGAGCTGCTTCCAGCTTCAAGGCTGTCTGAGAACCCGTGATCCGATGACCAGAAACCAAGTTCTTTATACTTCAATCCAACAACATTTACGATTCTGAATATCGAAACTTGTTGTGACCTTGCTCCGTGTTGGAAATGAACATCTCCACTCAAACCCGTAAAATTACTTGACAGAATTCTTGTCAGCAGTGACTTCGAATCAACAACGTTGTTTTTGCTTAAATTCATGATTGCTTGAGCAATAGTATTCATGCTGTCATATGCTTGTAAAGCATGAATCCCGGGCTTTGAGTGATCTTCATCTGGGAACTCTGACCTGAAAAGCTTTTGAAATTTAGTTTGAAAATCTAGAAAAGGCTTGGTGGTTTCAACATAGTGATTCTTGATTCCTAAAGCACCTTGAACAGACAAGGCAAAGGATGTCCCAGCAGAATCAAGAAGATCAGACACAGAATCTGCAAGAAGCCACACAGATTCTCTCCCCATTAATCCTATTTCCTTTGCTTCTTTGAACAGCAAACCAGCCATCAATTCTGATGAATGAAGAACGATGAACACCCTCGACTGTTTCTCCAGCAACTTCAAGACTTCCCCTCGAACAATCCGTTCTGAATCCTCAGACAAAGAAGAGAACTCCGGGAGGATTAAATGGTACTCAATATCAACCCCAATATCTTCAAGAGAATCAGATAAAGCTCCCAGCATCCCAGCATCACCATCTTCATATATTACTACCACCTTCCTCCAACTCCAGGAATGAATAACAGCAGCTATGCAGTTCACTTGCTCAGAGCTATTCGCAGCCATTTGTACCAAGAAAGGCCATTGAAGCTGCACCCTTTCTGGCATCCCAGAAGAAGCTGCAAGAGAGAGAACCGGCACCATCTCAGCTCGCTTTGCCACAACCTCTGCAACTAAACTTGCTTCTTCCCATGTATGCATCCCAATTATAGCTTTCACCTGCTTTCCTCTCACCAGCTCATCAGCTGCACCATAATGACTTTTAGTTGAAACGAAACACATCTTAACTGCATATCCTAAACTAAATATATGAGGGGAATTGAAGCATGTGCTCCATCTCAACTAAAAGCCTAAGCTGATAGTTGGATTGCATGGTTATATGCTCAACACGCCACCTCACGTGCAACACGTGGACCGTAGTCGCTTACCAAATTGAAGCATGTGCTTCATCTCAACTAAAAGCCTAAGCTGATAGTTGGATTGCACATTAATGGTTATATGCTCAACATTAGTGAATTGGATTTGATTCTAACCTGCAAAAACAGCTTGAACAGGATCCATGCTAGCATTTCTGAAATGAACAGAGATGTGGTGAGTCCTTGAATGATCATTAAACTTTTGGACAGCTATTTGTAGAGCAACTTTCTGTTCCTTCCCGGCACGTGAGTTTAAGTCGATGATTGCACCAATATCAATAATGGTTTCATTGCCAGTTCCTGAGACGGATACCATCCAAACAGAAAAGGGAAAAACCAGTAAAAGAATCAACAAAGAAGATGGCTTAAAGCCCATCATCTTTCTTGTTAAACTATGCATCCGGCCTGTTAATTGCTTCAATTCTTTAACCAGATTTACGTATATATATCCACAAGCTCCTAACTCGTTATTAATGTATAAGAATGGCCGGGTTTGAATAATATAATAGTTGAAGTTGATCGAGTCAATCTGGTTGAATAGTAAACGTGTGTTCATTCCTCGGCACTGTATAAAAGTCATATATATTTGATATTTCCATAGCCTAGAAGCAAAGCTAGACTTGTACACCAAGGAACTTATGAACTTCATTTAAAAAAAAAAAAAAATTACTGGAGGAATAAATAATACGTATTACTGTCAATTATGTGGGAGATTCATGTTACACTGGGTTAGAAATTTGATTGAAAGATCATCAAATGTGACAAAATTTGATAGTCAGATACAAAATGTGAAAAATATTGATAATTTTAGAGACAAAAATATAAGAAATGTATAATAGCGATGTCCTAAAAGTGAAACTAATTTTATTTTTTTTAAAGTAGTGAAACTAAATTAAGTGGTAAGTTATATTACAATTTTTAGGAGTAATTGGCAATTTAAAGATGCAATTACTTCTATGTGTTTGTTTTTATTTTGTTGTTCTCTTTTTATGTAATCCCTTTAACGCTGACTTTGTACAAAATGTATAGGGCGGAGAAGATTTTTTTTTTTTTTTTTTTTTTTTTTTAAGAAAGATATTTAAAAGTCAAAGAATTAGGGTAGTCCGGTGTGCACACGCAGCGCAACTTGGTGAAAAAATAGTTAATGGATCGGTCAAATTGATAAATTTCAAATTAAAAATATTTTAATTTAATTAATGAATAATGATTTTTTTAAATTTTCGATTATCAATTAATTTGGTTTCGAAGTGCTTGTTAACCGAATTGTTAGTGTATATATGTTTAATTTTTAAAATTCATAAGTCATACTATTCGATTAGTTTTTTTAAAATTTTTATCATTTACATATTGATATAATGACTACTTTGTGATTGGCACTATTGATTGAAATTTTTTATTTATACATTTTAAGAAATTTTAAATTTTTTTATTAATTGAATAATCGAAAAAAAAAAATTGTTTTAGTTAATCTGGAAGTAGGAAATTTGACTCGATTAACAGTTAAGACGTTTTTAAATTCAATGGTTATTAACCAAAATTAAACAATAAGGTCCCGTAGCTCAGTTGGTTAGAGCGTTGGTCTTATGAGCCGAAGGTCGCGGGTTCGAGCCCCGCCGGGACCAATTTTTTAACTGCCAGATACGCCCTATTCAATGCATGTCACGAATCTTCCACGAATTTAATTAATGGGTCCGAACGTCTGTCCAATCCACCAAAGCTATAATTGCAGAATAATAATATTATTAATTAATTCCCAAATCATTAACTACCGTTCACATTTTGCCCTACTACAATTTTATTTTATTTTATTACTACTCTTCACTTTTTATTTATCAAATTACAAATTACAAATTACAAATTACAAATTACAACATATTACTTAAAATCATCATCATAAGTTAATTTATTCTATTATGATTTAATTAGATTAAAATCGTGTCTGATAAAAATATTATTTAATGTAACATTTAACATTGTTGAGTATGAAAAACTTGTCTAACTAAAACTTAAGTTCAAATGAAATTATATATGCAAAGAGGGTTATGAGTGACAGGATAATAGGCTGGCACCCGACCCGGATCACAAATGGGCATGGACTCTTGACTCAGCGTCACATGGGAACCCAACGGATAGAAACTCCAACGGTCAGGAATTCCAACAGGTGCCACCTTTACTGACATTGAAGACAGCATTGAAGCCCCCATTGATGAGAGAGACTTAAAGCCCAGGCTCCTCATTTATGTCCGTGTTGTTACCGTTGGGACTCTAAGTATAAATAGGGATCTCCTCAGCTAGCAAAAAGGGGGGACTTTCTATACTAAAAACTAGAGCAATACCACAATTGTCTCTCTGACACATCGCTATTAGATTATCGTTATTATTATTTACCGGTAACGTTATTACCGTCATTGGTGCTTTCATTGAGAGCCTGAATCCAATACTCAAGCAGGCTACAACACAACTCCCTTTCTCTTTCAACAACAAGCTTGAAAGAATGGCGTCCCGCAGCTCCCACGGTTCTCGCAACGTGAACAATGGAAACGCCTCAGGTGACCTCCGTGACCTACTCACCAACAATCGTGGAGGGGACCTCCGAGAACATCTCAACAACGGGAGGCCCGGGGACCTTCGAGACCAACTCAACAACGGAGGTGACCTCCGAGACCAACTCAACAATGGAGGTGACCTCCGAGATCAGCCCAACAATGGAGGGGCGAACCAAGTCGTGAACCTCCAAGCGACCATTCAGCAGGCAGTGGCGGCGGCACTGAACCAAGTGGCGATGGGACTGCAAGGCCAAGCGCCCCCGCCTCAGGAAATAGAGGTGGAATCCTCGCGGAGGGTGGACGCCCAGGACGCAGCACGTGCCGCGAGGGACGCAGGGCGTCGCACTAGGAGCGGACCGGCCGGACGGCAACCTAGGCCCTCCCGCTCTGCCTTGGAACGGTTGGGACACGGGGCTCCCGCTCGGCAAAGGCCGGAGTCGCGTGCCGGGGGGTCCTCCGCTAGAGGCCCTCGCCGACACGAGGAAAGGGAAGCTGAGAGATCGCCCGTAGAAAGGATGGAGGCCCCGCGCCGGCACGATGACGAGTCGGCTCTGCGTCGACACTCGGATGAGCGACGCTTCGACGAACCGGCCCCGCGTCGGCACTCGGCGGAGCGACGCGATGAGCCGGCTCCGCGTCGGCACTCGGCGGAGCGACGCGATGAGCCGGCTCCGCGTCGGCACTCAACAGGCGAACGACGCGTTAATGAGCAGGTTCCACACCGATACTTGGATGGACGAAACGTCGAGGAACCAGCCCCACGACACAGGGAGGAGCGGCAGCCGGCTCCGCGCCGACACCTTGACGAGCCGGCCCTGGTCGAAAGGCTGCAGAGAAGGATCGAGGAGTTAGCAAGAAGGGTGGAGGCACGGGAACAGTCGCCGGAACCTGAGGTACGGATGGCAGCACCGTTCTCCCCAAGCATCATGGACGTACCCCTGCCGAGGGACTTCAGGTTACCTGCCATCAAGGCGTACACCGGAGCCACTGACCCACGGGTCCACATGACTAGGTACAAGGCTGCCATGGTAATGATCGGGGCGGGGGACGCCATCATGTGCCGAGCGTTCTTGTCCACCCTGGATGGAACGGCCCAAGATTGGTTCAACACCATCCCGGACGGGTCGATCCAAAATTTTGGGGAGTTGTCAAAAAGCTTCCTAACATACTTCTCCGGTAGCATACAGCGTAAGAAACCATTCTCTCACCTCTGTGTAGTAAAGCAAGATAGAGGCGAGAGCCTCAAAGACTTCCTAATCAAGTGGAAAAAGGAAGTCAACAATGTCTACGATTTCGACTCCAAGGCGGCGATCCCGATATTCATCCATGCCTTGAGATCGGGGTATTTTCACAAGCAGCTAAACGCCCACCACCCCCGTTCTTACGAAGATTTGATGAGGACGGCTAGCCGCTATGCCGAGGCAGAGGACGTCGATAGGAAAAAGAAAGATGAGGAGGACGGCAGGAAGAATGGAAAACCTGGGAAAGCTGGTCCGCCCAGCCAAGCGCCACGTTCGAACCACCCGGCTGCAGGGAAAGGCCGGGACCATGAACGGCCTCGCCTGGTTCCCTTGCGTAACCTAACTCCGCTTACCCATCCCGTCAGTGTCATCCTAAAACAGGCTGAGGAGATGGGAATAGTCGAGTTCCCACCGGAATGCATGAAGGTCTCCCCGAAAGGGGACCAAGCAAAGTACTGCAGGTTCCATAGGCAACCCGGGCATGACACGGACGAATGTAATGTGCTAAAGAGACAGATAGAAGAACTCATCCAGCAGGGCTACTTCCGGCATTTTGTCAAGCGATCCAGGCAGCAGCAACAGCCGCAGCACGATCCATCAAAAAATCCACCAAAGAATGTATGGAGGAAGGGGGATGGGGCCGAGCCATCCACCTCGAACGCCAAGAAAAGGGAGCACGACCAGATATCGGAGGAGGATGACAGCGAGAAGGAAACCGAGATGGCGCCCAGACGACAAAAGAAACACACCATACATTTCATCTACGGTGGACCAGCTGGCGGCGACACACCCACAGAGAGGAAGAAGTGGAGCAGGCAGCTGTACGTAGGAGAAGTGGTGAGTCTTCCCAAAGGGAAGAAGCAGAGGCGGGAGGCCATCACTTTCTCTGACGAGGACCTCCCCGAGGGCCCCTTACCCCATCGCGACGCACTGGTGATTAAGATGGACATCAATGATACGATCGTACATCGCATCTTGGTCGACACGGGAAGCTCGGTTAACGTGATGTACTACGGCGCCTTCACTAAGTTAGGGTTACCTAGAGGCCAGCTCAAAGAGGTACGAACTCCACTCTCTGGGTTTACTGGGGATTCGGTGGAAACAGAAGGGTCGGTGACCCTGCCCATGGAGATAGGCACGAGCCCCAACGCTCGCAAGCTGGACATGGAGTTCATCGTGGTAAGGCTCACTTGTGCCCACAACATCATACTGGGAAGGCCATCACTAGAGGACCTCAAGGCCATAATATCTGTGGAACACCTGTGTATGAAGTTCCCCACTCCGAATGGAATAGGAGTCGTCAGAGGTGACCGACGGGCAGCCCGGAGTTGCTACGTGAAGGCGTGCAAGAAGATCGGCAGCAAGGACTTACAGGTCCACACGATCGCGGAGAAAATTTTCAAAGAAGAAGAGGCATGGCCCCGCGCCGAGCCCGTGTCAGAGACAGAAGACATAGTTCTCGATCCCTCCAGACCAGACCGAGTGGTGAAGATCGGCACAGGCTTAAGCCCAGAGCTAAGGGCCCAAATAGTGGATGTAATTCGCCGTTCTCACACGGTGTTCGCGTGGGGGCCAGAGGACATGCCGGGCATAGATCGAAGGATCATAACCCACAAGCTCGCGGTCGACCCCAGCAGAAAACCAGTGCATCAGCGAAAAAGGTATATGTCGGCAGAACGAAGAGAGTTCGTGAAAAAGGAGGTGACCGCATTACTCAACGTAGGGCACATCAAGGAAATTTACTACCCACAGTGGCTGAGCAACGTAGTCTTAGCTCCCAAAGGATCGACATGGAGGATGTGCGTGGACTACACGGACCTCAATAGGGCATGCCCTATGGACCGTTTTCCACTACCCAATATAGATCAATTGGTGGATGAGACGGCAGGATGTGAACTCATGAGCTTCATGGACGCCTTCCGTGGGTACCATCAGATATCCATGCATGAGGAGGACGCAGAGAAGACCGCCTTCACCACTCCCGAAGGGATATTCTGCTACTTGGTCATGCCGTTCGGATTGAAGAATGCCGGGGCCACATACACTCGCATGGTGGCAAAGCTGTTCAAGTCAGTACTGGGACGAAACATGGAAGCATACGTGGACGACATGATCGTCAAAAGTCGCAAGGCCACTTCCCATGCCGAGGATCTCAGCGAGGTATTTTCCATTATGAAAAAATTTAATTTGCGCTTGAACCCAAAAAAATGCACCTTCGCCGTTGATGGGGGCAAATTTTTGGGCTTCATGGTCACCAGGAACGGCATTGAGCCGAATCCAGAAAAAGTAAGGACTATCCTTGACATGGAGCCTCCGCGGTCCATAAAGGAGGTCCAGAGACTCAACGGGCGTCTGGCGGCCTTAGGCCGTTTTCTGTCGAAATCGGCTGAACGATCCCTCCCCTTCTTCCAAATCTTGAAAAAGAGCAAAGGGTTCGAGTGGACGTCAGACTGTCAAAAGGCCTTCGAAGAGTTGAAAAAATACTTGTTGTCCCCGCCCCTGCTTGCAAAGCCAGAGGCAGGTGAAACCCTAATTCTGTACTTGGGCGTGTCACAGGGTGCGATCAGCTCCATGCTGGTCAAAGAAGAAGGAGGGACTCAGCGTCCCATCTACTACGTAAGCAAAGCCCTACACGACACGGAGCTCCGGTACAGTGTGTTGGAGAAAACAGTATTTGCCATAGTCACCTCATCAAAAAGGTTGGCTCACTACTTCCAAGCTCACCCCATCCATGTACTTTCACATCAGCCGTTGGGAAGCTTCCTACGGAATACCAACAGTTCCGCCAGGATGGCACGGTGGGCCATGCACCTCAGTCAGTTTGACATAGATTTTAAATAATAATAACGATAATCTAATAGCGATGTGTCAGAGAGACAATAGTGGTATTGCTCTAGTTCTTAGTTGAAAAAATACTTGTTGTCCCCGCCCCTGCTTGCAAAGCCAGAGGCAGGTGAAACCCTAATTCTGTACTTGGGCGTGTCACAGGGTGCGATCAGCTCCGTGCTGGTCAAAGAAGAAGGAGGGACTCAGCGTCCCATCTACTACGTAAGCAAAGCCCTACACGACGCGGAGCTCCGGTACAGTGTGTTGGAGAAAACAGTATTTGCCATAGTCACCTCATCAAAAAGGTTGGCTCACTACTTCCAAGCTCACCCCATCCATGTACTTTCACATCAGCCGTTGGGAAGCTTCCTACGGAATACCAACAGTTCCGCCAGGATGGCACGGTGGGCCATGCACCTCAGTCAGTTTGACATAGATTTTAAACCGAGGCCCGCCATCAAAGGCCAAGCTCTTGCAGACTTTATAGTGGAATGCACCGCTCGGGAAGTGACGGACCAAGTGGAAACTGAAGATGGAGGGTGGTGGACTTTGTCCACAGACGGCTCTTCCAACAGCAAGGGCTGCGGCGGCGGCGTGGTGCTCGTCACTCCGGAGGGATTCCGCGCCTACTATGCCATCCGATTCCACTTCAAGTTGTCTAACAATGAGGCGGAGTACGAGGCCCTCCTCAATGGACTGCGATTGGCGGCGGGACTACGAGCTGAAAAGGTCCGAATTCGATGCGATTCCAAGCTGGTAGTCAGCCAGGTGTCCGGGGAGTATGAAGCCAACGAAGGAAGCATGCAGAAATACAGAGACGCGGTGTTGAGAACCTTGCGCGAGTTCGAGGGATATGAGATACACCAGGTACCGAGAGAGCAGAACGTCGACGCCGACATGCTCTCAAAGCTAAGTACCGGAGTCCCTAGCCACATTAGGAAGATCGCTCGACTAGAAGACCTCGAGACTTCAAGTATTGACGTCTCGTGGGTCTTCCCTGTGCAGACTAGGGAGCCATGTTGGATTGATCATATCAAGCGATACAAGGCAGATGGCACCCTACCACAAGACGAGGCAGACGCCAAGGTAACGAAGTTACGGGCACCTAGCTACGTTGTCTCGGGCGATAAGTTGTACAAACGCTCCTACAACGGCACGTTACTAAGGTGTCTATATCCAGATGAAGCGAAGTTGGTGATAAAAGAAGTCCACGAGGGAGTATGCTCCGCGCATCAAGGGGCGTACACCATTGCGCGCCGCATCATGCTACAAGGGTATTTTTGGCCCAAAATGTTGAGGGATTGCGCCGAATATACAAAGCGATGTCCCAAGTGCCAAGAATTCCAAGCACTGCCGGGTCGACCTGCGACGAACTACACCCCGGTAAGCACCGCGATTCCTTTTTCAAGATGGGGAATTGACCTGGTAGGGGCACTTCCCACGGGGACTGGAAGCAGAAAGTACATCATCGTGGCCATTGACTATTTCACGAAATGGGTGGAGGCCGAGCCCCTAGCGAGCATCACTGCAGCAAGGTGCAAAAGGTTTGTCGAGAAAAATATCCTATATCGTTTCGGCATCCCCTTCCAGGTAATCACAGACAATGGTCGTCAGTTCGAGGCACGAGAATTTTTAGAATTCCTAGCAGGATGGGGCGTTAAGCATAGCCGGGTGGCGGTATCTTATCCTCAGGCGAATGGGCAAGTAGAGAATGCGAATAGAACCATCCTCGACGGCCTCAAGAAGAAGCTAGAAGTAGCCGGCGGAGCCTGGGTGGAGGAACTCGATGGCATCCTCTGGGCCTATCGCACGACACCAAGAAGGGCCACCGGAGAAACCCCGTTCGCACTCGCCTACGGATTTGAAGCTCGGGCCCCGGTGGAAGTGATCATACCTAGTATAAGGGTGGAGGAATTCGAGTCAGAGCAAAATGAACTCCACCAAAGGGTGGATCTAAACTTTTTGGATGAAAAGAGAGAGGCGGCATTCTGCAAAATGGAGAACTACGGTCGCCAGCTAAAGTCCTACCACGACGCGAAAGTCCGACCCCGTTACTTCCAAGTCGGCGACCTTGTGCTGCGAAGAAGGGAAGCCAGCCAACCCCTTGAAGGGGGAAAATTCGCAAAAAAGTGGGAGGGGCCTTACGTCGTGGAGGAGGTCGTTCGCCCAGGGACATACAAGTTAAAAACTACGGGGGGAAGAATGATTGACCGGGTATGGAACTCGGAACATTTGATCAAGTACTTTCCTTAAAAACCTTGTAACAGCAATCGTTAGAGTTAGTGCTTGGCGATCGCGGTCCGTCCGCTCTACATACTAAGAGTATAGAAAATGGTACCTTACTTTCATGGTCCGTCCATGTTGCTTAATAAAACAGGTTTTGTACCATCTTTTACAAAATTTTCCGAAACGATATTTCGTGCTCACGGTCCGCCCATGTTAAAAAAAAATAATAAAATAAAAAAATAAAATAAAAAAATAAAATAAAATAAATTTTGGCTGAGGCCGCACCTCAGCCTCAGCCGAGGAACGCGACTCGGCCGCCTGGTCGAGGCCGCGCCTCGGCCACAGGCCGAGGCCACGCCTCGGCCAAGTAGCCGAGGCACTCGCCTCGGCCAGATGGTGGTCGAGGTCGCGCCTCGGCCAAGTAGCCGAGGCACTCGCCTCGGCCAGATGGCTGAGGCCATGCCTCAGCCACATGCTGAGGCAACGCCTCGACCACGGCCCAAGGCCCTGCGCCTCAAAAAAAAAAAAAAAAAAAAAAAAAAAAAAAACGTGAAACGTGGCCGAGGCGACGCCTTTGCGCCTTAAAAAAAAAAAAAAAAAAAAAAAAATTGCTAAGGCCGAGGCACGCCTCGGCCGCCTGGTCGAGGCCGAGGAGCATGCCTCGGCCGCCTGGTCGAGGCCGCGCCTCGGCCACAGGCCGAGGCCGCGCCCCGGCCACAGGCCGAGGCCACGCCTCGGCCACAACCCAAGGCCCTGCGCCTAGGCAAAAAAAAAATAAAAAAAAAAAAAATAATAATAATAAATAATAATAAATAAATAAATAAATATATATATATTTATATATATTAAATAAAATACGAGATAATAACGACAGCAAAGACTTACAGAGCTGTGGCAAGAAGTTGTTGCGAAAGTGCTCTCAAACTACTCGCAGGCAGGGCTTTATATTGAAGAGGTGGTGGAGATAAAAAAGTAAAGTGAAGCAGGAAAGGATTTGGAAAGCTTAAATCAGTGATTTGGAATGCAAATTAGGGATTTGGAAAATAAAATCACATATTCTAAATCAAGCAGAATTCTATGCAGGATCGAATAAAATCAACTTTACTCCCAAGTCAACCCAAACACATCCGTTGACTCAGGAGTAGGGGGGACTGGTGACAGGATAATAGGCTGGCACCCGACCCGGATCACAAATGGGCATGGACTCTTGACTCAGCGTCACATGGGAACCCAACGGATAGAAACTCCAACGGTCAGGAATTCCAACAGGTGCCACCTTTACTGACATTGAAGACAGCATTGAAGCCCCCATTGATGAGAGAGACTTAAAGACCAGGCTCCTCATTTATGTCCGTGTTGTTACCGTTGGGACTCTAAGTATAAATAGGGATCTCCTCAGCTAGCAAAAAGGGGGGACTTTCTATACTAAGAACTAGAGCAATACCACTATTGTCTCTCTGACACATCGCTATTAGATTATCGTTATTATTATTTACCGGTAACGTTATTACCGTCAATGAGTTTGACTTATTACAACACGTTTGGTTCACGGAATGAATTTTGAGGTAATAGGAATGCTATTCCATAAGGAATGGAATAGACAATGAATAGAATAGGAATTGTATTCTATTGTTTGGTTCGCGGAAGGAATAGGCTTTAGGAATTATATTACAGTGTTTGGTTGATTTTAAGGAATAGAAATGAAATATATTTTAAAAGACATAAATACCCTTATAAAAATATGTGATGGTGGTGGTGGTGGTGGTGGTGCTACTGGGTGGTGGTTCTGGTTGCGACGCGGCGATGATGGTGGCGGTGGTGGCGGTTGAACCAATTAATTAGCATTTTTTATTTAAGCTAATCGGCTATGAGTAAACAAAACTGGTTTACATCCTTTGATCCTTTATTGACTAAGTTACAAGCAGACAATGCGCCAACAAATAACGATTGCAAACTTCCCTGTAAATCAAATAAATTATGGCAAAAACTTGTGTGAGACTACCTCACAGATCCTTGTCACATGTCGAGTTGTAAACAACTAGGTGTGTAAGTATCACAATTTCAGTTATAAGTATTACAATATTTATCATTAATAAAAATAAATTTTTATCCAACACAGTGTCACAATTTCACATATAAGTATTATAATATCTATCATAAGTAATGACTTATATTTAATTAAAATTGGTATTAAACTTTTTACAATAAGTATTACAATTTTTTTCATAAGTAACACTTTACATATAAATATTACAATATTCACATTAGAATTACACTTTGTAAGTATCACAATTTCAGATATAAGTATTATAATATGCATTATTAGTAATAATCATTTTACTCTAAATAATATCACAATTTCATATATAAATATTATAATAAATAACATTAAAAAAAATTCAACTTGAGTATTCAATTTTATGTAATAAGTATTATGATTTATATCATAAGTAACAATTTTTTTTCGTAAATTAGGATCCGTGACAATCTCACACTCTTACACAAGTGTGATATATAAATTATATATCAATATATCATATTAAAAATAGTTGTTGATGTTGTGGTTAATCCGTTAGCTTAAATATATAGATCAAAAAGAAATATGGATAAAGAGTGGTAGAAGAAATATAAGGAATAAAATAAGTCATGTAAGTCACCTACTCTTTTTATTTCAATACAAAATATATATACAACATAATTAAATAGTGAATTAATGATATAACCACTACAAACGATACAAACATTACAAAACTAATAATAATGTACATAATAAATAAAATATTTATAACATTTGACTCGTTCAACGGGTAGACACATTGGTTGAAATTTGGTTTTAAAGCAATTAATTTGATACGGACTCGAAAACACCGTAGTCCGTGTAGATCGGGTAGGTGACTATAGCAATAATTTCATCAGGAGATAAAATGGACCCCACCAGGGGCCCCACGCCACCATTTCCCCAAGCAAAAGAATGTCAAATTGTCAATGTTGGTTTTGCTGTGAATGTAAACAATCTTTTTTTTTCTTTTTCTCCCTGAGCACAAAAAAGCACATCTTGAATCTTGATTGTCAGTGGGTAGTGCTTTGATTGAGGAGAAAATCAAAATCTTATTTTAATCAAAAATTCTAGAGAGGGAAACTGATTTTTATATTCCCATGATGTTTTGTAGTTCAACTCCTCTGAGAAAACATGTTAGTATAGTGATTCAACCATGGGCCATGGCAAATTATACCCAAGCTGCCAAGCACACAGACCGACAGGCCACACCAACCCTTTAATATTCATCCTTCTCTCTCTCTCTCTCTCTCTCTCTCTCTCTCTCTCTCTCTCATATTCTTCTTCTTCAAGTGTTTCTTCTCTTTCACTCATACTATTCCTCTGTCATTATTCCCCCTTCACTTTGCTTATCTTCTTTCATTCCATAGTTTTCTTCACAGTTTGGTGATACCCATTCTCCAGAAGGGGGAGCACACTGCACCTATCTTCTCTGGTATGTCAATTCCTGCTGTTTTCTGTTTAAAGATTGCATCTTTATGTGTTGTTCTTAGTTTCCTGTTGCCTAAATTTGGAAGAACTGAAGATCTGTGTGTTGATGTGGGAGAGAATTTAACATTGTGGCTAGTTTGAATGCTTTGTTGTTTTGACTTTTGACATTGTCCGGAATGGAGGGAAAGATGGTTTGTGATATGGAGTGTAAATCCAAACTTTGAGACTTTCCTTTTAAGTTCTAAATGTTTTGGTTGAATTCAGGTCAATAAAATATTCTGTTTGTTTCTTTAACTGTTTGTCTTCTTTGTTTTTCTGATTGATGTTTGAATGGTATATCACTGGAATTCAGCACTTCATATCTGCAGGGAATAGTAATATATAAATATAGTATTGCTTCATGTGTTGACCTTTAATGGAATAAGAATAATAAGTTAATAGAGTTATTAGCATCCGAGGTCCTCCGAGTATAGTGGTTTTGCCAAGTTTAGTCCTAAACTTTCAAATTAGCCATCTGTGGTCCTTCGACTTTCAAATTTAACCATCCGTGGTCTAAGTTTACCACCTATGGTCCTTCAACTATTAAATTTTAACCAACCATGGTCCTTTCAAGAGGACCACGACTGGTTAAATTTCAAAACTAGAAGGACCATGGGTGGTTAACTTGGACCACGAACGGTTAAATTTGAAAGTCGGAGGACTACAAATGGTCAATTTGAAAGTTTAGGACTAAACGTGGCAAAACCACTATACTCGGAGGACTTCAGATGGTATTAACTCTAAGTTAATAATAAGTTTGAAGCCCGTACGAGTAGTTCAGTTGGTTCCTGGCACGGATTGTAGGCTAGGACATAGGGTTGAGCCCCGACAGTCACAGCATAGGAGTTTCACCCTCTTCTGGGGTGGTACCTTGCGAGCACCTGGCAACACTGGTCCTCCCACCTAATGGGCTGCTGAGTCACCATGATTTGGCCTTGGGGCGAGGGATTTCGCCTTTTGTGGGCAAGAATAATGAGTTTGAAGTAGACACTAGATAACCTCCTTTTAGTTGATACATGCTTCATATTCCCACTACAATTGTAAATGACTCTGAGGCTTATTAGCATGTTAGAGATTAATGATTTCAAGAAAATTCACTGTTTGACTAGGACTATGGTGTTTAAGTGTTTAACTATGGATTGCATTAAGGAGAAGGGTACAGCAATTTGGCCAGATTTCGGTGTTTTGATGTATTGCAAATAGGGCATGTATTATAATTGAGTCTACAACGTTTCTAGAAGTTAATCTTCCTTGACAGTAATAGTTCTCTAACATGATAGCGAAGCTAACGGTTTTAGCCTCTAGGATGAGGCCGGCTTCATTAAAACTAATTGCAAATGTGAAATTAAATAATGTTGTGATGATAGCCATATATAAGTCGGCGTTCTTTGTGGGTTTGCTTTGTCTCAACTGTGTTTTTATAATCTCTCTGAAAGTAAGGATTTCGGAAAAGCCATCGTGAGTTTAGAGGATGAAATTATAGGTGTGCCAAGTTTGCATCAATTGTAGCTGGATATCTACATTGCTAATTCTGTTTTCTCTTCTTAATAAATTTTTATGCAGAGCAATATACATAACAGTTATATCAGCAATGGTTTCCGGAGACTGGTTTAAGAATATAATCAGTTTGAAAAAATCAAAAGATGGGAGATCTAAGAAGTTAAAGGTACACTACAATTAGTTTCTTATTGCATGTAATTTATAAATTTATTCTCTAATAGTAAAGATTTGATCGTGACATATATGACACTTCGTTTCTCCGAGCTTGTTTAGATGAGCATACGCTTATCGGATAGTTTATTGTATTGCTTATCGTCTTTTTCTCACCATGGCTTGCCTGGGGAGGGGGAGAAGAATACTAATTCTTACTTTTTGCCACGAGATAGGGATATAAAGAGACGATTAATAGCCAAGGGAACAACCTTTCTCTGAAGGAGCCTCCTATAATAGGAAATGGCGTTTCAGATGGAAACCACACGGTTCTTAGTATGCCTATAGAGCAGATAGCAGCAATACAGATTCAGAAAGCATTCCGAGCATACATGGTATGACACGTTAAAACCATCACCGCTGTTCTCATTTTGACAATATTGTTGAGTTGCCTTGTTTGTGCAAGTGTTTGTTAAACGTTAACCTGTTCCTACAATCCTACTTGTTGCCATTTTTTACGACTAAGCTGTTTGTTTTGTTTCGATTCTTTTAATATTTGGAACAATAACCAAACCTTTCAAGTGTGGCTTTGGTTCCAGTTCAAACTGAACATTGGACAGGTCTACCATAACCCGTACTATGCTTACTTCCAGTGGGTCACTGATCCTGTGACTGTTGTAAGTTAAGCACGCTTAACCATAGAGTTCTTTGGCTATCTGGTTGACATATCCTATTTAAAACTAATTGGTGATTAGTAGGTGGACATTAACCATTTAACCACATTCCTTCATGGTAAGCCACAACGCCACGTCTCGAATCGAGTAGGGACTGAACTCAGCCAATTCGGCTGACGCCCAACAACATGCAACTTGAAGTCAAATGTCCTTTTGCCCTCTTGCAGGCGAGGAAAACTTTACGCCATTTAAAAGGAATTGCTAAACTACAAATCCTGACGGAAGGCAATTCAGTCAAAAGACAAACTCCAACGACTTTGAGCTATCTCCATTCTTGGACTCGGATACAAGCAGAGATTAGAGCACGACGTGCCCAGATGGTAGCAAAAGGTCATCTCCGGCAAAGGAAGCTAGATAATCAGTCAAAGCTCGAAGCCAAGCTTCAGAATTTAGAGGTCTGCATTATAACTCTCATCCGTGTCTGTATCTTTATACGTGTCTATCGCTGCATTTGTGCTTTTACTAAAGACCAATAAAAACAAGTCTTTGGCAGGTAGAGTGGAGCGGTGGCCCTGAGACAATGGAGGAAGCTCTTGCAAGGATACATCAAAGAGAAGAAGCGGCAGAGAAGCGAGAGCGAACTATGGCCTATGCATTTTCTCATCAAGTATGTTTACTAAGATTTAACAGGTTCCTCTTTCATCATTTCAAAAAGGTTAAAAGAACGTTTTAACGAGCATTTTTGTTACAGTGGAGGGCCAACTCCAACCCGATATATGGATCAAGTAACCTCGAACTGGGAAAAGCAAACTGGGGCTGGAGCTGGACAGAGCGCTGGATCGCTGCCAGGCCTTGGGAAAGCCGAACCCCGGCTAAACCAAGTCCAAAGAAATCGCAGAATAAGCAAGCTAGCAAAACAAGCAAAATCACGGTTCCTGCTAAAGAGAAAGTACCTACAAAACCCCGCAGACTATCTTATGAATCAGGTGTAAAAGGGAATGAGAAAACCAAGGAGGCAAGCACTAAGAAACAGCAGGCAGCATCTGAAGAAGAGCAGACATGAGAAGTTGTGTTTTGTTGTTCTGAACAAGCCCCTCTGCTGTCATGAATTATCAGCAAAGAAGTGATGAATGTTTCCATTGATCCCTGGTTCATCTTGTGAGTTGGTGCATGTGGAGTGTTCAGTGTTGTGATTTATGTAAGTTTGCCATTTTTTTTTTTTTCAAATTGATGTGTATATTGGAGTGCTCCTAAGCTACTATGGAGTACTAAATTATAATGTAAATAAATATCTAAAATATTTTCTTTTGAGAATATTTATATACTTTTTTGAGCATTCAACACTCTCCATCTTGTTTAATGAATATATGTATTTCTTGAAGTTGTTTTTAGATTATTTTCCTTCTTAAATTTTAAGATTACAATTGTAGCCATCAGTGAAGTTGGTTGGATGGTTAGTTTGGTAATCAGTGCACATCCTCGATTAAAAATTGTAGCTCTGGAAATATTTAGAAAGCTTAAATGTTGGATCAAAAGTACACTTACCTATTTATGAACTACGGAGTCAATTACTGTATTGTGTGATGACAGATCTGTTATCGTTACATTTGAAATTATAATGTAAATACTACGTATTTTTAAGTAATGATGATTGCGGGTTTCTTTATATTAAAAAAAAAAAAGGTCCTTTATAAGTTTCCGCGCTAAATGACGAGCAAGTCAGCAAACACACTGGTAAGTCTGGTATACAGCTTCTACCAAGCCGTTAATGCAAAACCCTAGTAGGGAGTTTCTTACTGATCCACGAGAAGAAGAAGGAGCGATCATATTAAAATGGCGATGGCTGCTTTGAGACGCGAAGGGAGGCGTTTGGCTGCCGCACCGTTCACTTCTCCCAACCCTCCCATTGCGCTCCGCTCCTCTCTTGTCTCTCCTTCCGAGTACGATTCGTCCCCCAATTCTTCTATTTTGTCTTTCTCCTTTTAACAATTTGAATTGATTAATTTGTTGAGAACTTATGGTTTGATTGTCGTTTTTAAGGAGCATGGAAAGTTGTGATCTTTAGCGTTTCTGTTGCCGAGTTGTAATGTTTAAAAATCAGAAATGAAATTGCAGATAATTATGATTTTGTGTTCCAATGCAATGCTCTTTTATCCCATTTGACCAAAAAAAAATTAGTTGGATTTGTAATTTGCTAAATTGTGTTATGCCCTTTTCAATGAAGTTGTCTGCTATATGCAGGGAGATAGGCTTGTCTGGATTCCACTCCATTTCTACTCAAGTTGGTAAGATTGATCTTTATTTTCTATTGGTCCATTTTCTGGTTCTCTATGCTTGGTCTGCCTTCATTGAAGTGCCCTTTTCATGGAAGAAGCATTTATGTTGCAGCTTCTAAGCTTCGAGCTATTCAGACTAGAGCTGAAAATTCACGTGGCCTCTGGCAGCCTTTCATTGCTCTCCTTGGTGACACTCCAAGTAAGTGTGTGGATTTAATTTTCAGCATTTTGCTTATTTTATGAATCTATTTTCTGAAGGAGGTGGATTTTGGAAGGGGGCTTTATTTTTGTTGAGGTCACTTCTGTATTCTATTCCTATCTGATTCCTTTAGAATATAGAACCTTGGCACTATTTAATATGTAATTTAATTATGATATCTTGGGACAGACACCAAATAATGTATTTGTGGCAAGAGATTTATGTTACTAGTTTAGCTTGATAGCTTCAAAGTAGACTAAAATACTAAATGACCTCTGTGAAACTGATGCAACCATGCACCTGTTCATTTTTTTTTTAAATTTTTTTTTTTTTCAAATCTTAATATAATCAAATACCTTGATAGGCTATTGATTAATGGATTTCAATACAAATGCAAACTGTACCCCCCCCCCCCCCCCCCCCCCCCTTTTGCAGTGTTATGGTATGTACTTATTCAGTGAAATGTTTACTTGTATGTTTCCTTCATTTTGAAGATGTTTACATGTTTCCAGAATCTTTACCAAGTGCCTATTTATTAAATGCTTGATCATCTTCTGATTGCCTCTGTTGTTGACCTTCTAAATTCTTGTTACAATAGTTATTGATGTGAAGAAGAACGCCATCAATACTATTTATTCAGACAAAGGTCTTTGTGATGGAATCAATTCTACAGCTTTCAAGACAACCTGGAATAGTCACAAGTTGAGTTCTGGTAAACTGCAAAGTTTCTCTTTCATAAGTATGCTTACTCCCAATGGAAATTAAGTTAATCAGTATTTATTGTATGATTACTAGGTCCTGGGAAGGAAAACAAATATGTGAAGGCAAATGCTCAGTTGATTATGACTGACCTGCAGAAGAATCCTCTGAACTATACTCAGGTTGTACTTTCAGTTCACCCAATACCCACATATTAAAACTCAAATGAAGAAACCTTGCAATTATCTGCACTGCGTTTTTCTTACCAATTGTGACTTAAATTTGACCTTTGGGCCTCCAGCAATCTTTTCATTTCTCTACGTTAGCCAACTCAGAAGAACATAAGAATGAGCAAAAGTCTTCTTGGATTGATTTGTATTTGCCCCAAAAAATCAGGCCCTATGCGCATCTGGCTCGACTCGATAAACCCATTGGGACCTGGTTACTTGCTTGGCCTTGCATGTGGTAAGTCAATACTCATTCTGTGTCTTTACAAAATAAAAATTGTGTTTCTGTTATGTACTTAATTATTTTTTCAGCTTTTATTTAGGTCAATTTCTTTGGCAGCAGCACCAGGGAGTATACCTGATGTGAAGATGATGGCTCTGTTTGGTTGCGGGGCTTTGCTTCTGCGAGGTGCCGGATGTACCATTAATGATCTGCTAGATCGTGATATTGACACAAAGGTAATCAAGGTTTCCATATATATACTAATAGCAAAGCGCCTTTTACTTCAAAAAATATTCATACTCGTCTTGCCAATTGACTTTTTAATATACTTTTTGGTTGATATCTTTTCATTTGCTTCTCTCCAATACATGCATTCATTAACTGCTACAAAAATGTAGTAATATGATAGAAGAATTGTTAACCAATTTACAATTTAGATTGTTAGTATTTTACAATGCTTTCTCACACTAATAATGGGCAAAACTCCTTTTTTGTACATGTAGTTTGATAATTGTTTTACCTCTAAACTCCAGCGATTACTGTTATCTGGATAGTTCTATTCCTTAGGTGATACTATTTTGAATGCTTTTTTGGCATATCTGATAGCTTTACTGTGCAGGTAGAGAGAACACGGTTGAGACCAATTGCCAGTGGGATTCTGACACCATTTCAAGGGATTTGTTTTCTTGGGTTTCAATTGCTTTTGGGTCTTGGGATCCTTTTGCAATTAAACAATTTTAGGTTAGTGGTTAATTATGTTACCTTCATACCGAACATGTAGATAAAATCTAAACAGATTATGATGCATTGGATTTATTCAGCTGTGACTTCCATTTCTTTAGAGACGCTCCTTGAAATTTATTTGCTATCTCAAGCATTTTAATGAGTAACATCAAGGATATTTATACCAGAAATTTAAATAATTATTGGAGTTTTTTCATTCTTGGGATGTCACCTTTGAACTCCAATTAAAATGAGTGTTTTTCGTGTTCAACACAAGCCATATGATTGGATTTCTTTTGTAAGTGATAGAAGCCCTTTAATCTGATGATAATTGATATCAGGCCCTTTTCCTTCATGAGTCGGGTTTAGCCGTTTATTATAAAATATTCACCTTCTAAGATAAATATTCTTATTTGATGACTCTCTTCTAAGACTCAAACCATTCTAAAGTTAGTTGTAGTCTTCCAATGTTCTCATGTTTTTGTAAAGGTAAAGTGGGTTATATTTATGACTTGTCAGATTGTTTGAGTTACCAGTGTTGATGTTATCTTGTCACTGTTCTAGAGTCTAAAAAATCCCATTAGTTTGGATGGCAATCATCTTACTCATTTAATGGAGTGAAACTGTTTTTATACAGCCGTGTTTTAGGAGCTTCTTCTTTGCTACTGGTTTTCTCCTATCCCCTCATGAAGAGGCTGACATTTTGGGTAAGAGATCTAAACTAACTCTCCTTATTCCTGAACCTCCCTGTACCTGCACAGCAGGAATCCTTTCTCCTGCTTTCTCTGTCTCCCTGTTTGTTATGAACAGTTTGGTGATTCTTCTCTGATCTCTATAACTTTTGGTGCAGCCTCAAGCTTTTCTAGGTCTAACTTTTAATTGGGGAGCATTATTAGGTTGGGCTGCTATTAAAGGCAATCTTGACCCTGCTGTTGTGCTGCCTCTTTATCTATCTGGTGTGTCTTGGACACTTGTTTATGACACTATATATGCTCATCAGGTAAAGAATAATCATTGGGAATCGGGTTTTGCATATGAAATATTTATATAAATATTGGAAACATAAATTTACTTAAGTTTGTAACGTTTCTTATGCCTGCAGACTTGTTTCTTATTACATTTAGCTAATACCCATGCACTAGGAAATATTCTGCTGAAATAATAAAAGATTCATTATACTCTCTTACTGTGAAAGTATTCTAGCACACTGCATGGGTTACCCTTCTATATTCGGGGAGAGGGTATTGGATTGGAGGAAGTTTTGTGTAAGATTTGTGTGTGTTTTTTAAAGCTAAATCCTTCCTTACGAAATCATGTTATGAAAAGAAACACGTCTTAATGCAATATTAATCTAAAAACTAGTACATTTGCATGATCTTTGCTTCATGTTATTCTTGGCCATACATGTAGTCAACCACTCAATCTAATGATTGTGGTTCACAATTCATGCAAATGTGTGAGCTTTTTTTTTCATCATATCTGCATCTCTGGTTCACATGCTCTTTTTTTCAAGCTTATTTTGCCATCTTCTAGAAATATGTTCCAATGTTCTTAAACTGATGTTAGTGTTAGGAAAATATAATGCATACAAGACATTTGTTTTAATTGGCACTAAAATACTTTGGTACATGTTGATCCAGGACAAAGATGATGACCTTAAAGTGGGTGTTAAATCCACAGCCTTAAGATTTGGGGATTCAACAAAGGAGTGGATTGCTGGATTTGGAATAGCTTGCACTAGTAGTCTAGCTCTATGTGGATACAATGCTGATATTGGTATTTATCCCTTTTTGCACCTTTATTCAGCCCAATTAGGTCATGAAACTTTTTAAGGAAAAAAAATTAATGCTTAATAACCTTCTTTACAAAAAAAAAATAAAATTGCTCCTTAATTCTTTTTCTTGGTTGGATATTTGGATCAGGATGGCCATATTATGCCTTTTTGTCAGCTGCAAGTGCCCAATTAGCATGGCAGATTTGGACAGTAGACCTATCATCTCGTGCAGATTGCAACAAAAAGCAAGTATTTTTAAAGAGTTCTGCCTGATGTTTAACATTTCAGAGTTTGGATGGCATTTTGTGAACTGCACTTGCTAACTTGATATGAAACACTTGTTTGATGCTTCACAAGTTGATTAAGTTCTACACTACTTTTTTCCTTGAATGATTTGTAAACTATTACCTGATACCCTTTTTGTCATTGTACTTGTAGATTTGTATCCAACAAATGGTTTGGTGCTCTCATTTTCAGCGGGATATTATTTGGAAGAATTCTCTCATAATGGTATGTAACATTCATAGCCCAATTTACTCCTAAATAAATGGACAGAGTTTTGCATACGGAATCTTGACATAATCACTCCAACAAGCAATCAAATGTAAATTTTGTGTTTGGGTTCACTGATGATCATATTAACAAACACAATTTCTTGCAGGACCGTGATCTCTCCTTTGCCTGTGGGAACCCCGATTTTTCAAAAGATAGCAAATTATTGGACAGCTTGGTGAACTCATTGCAGTGTTGCAGTAGCCTTCTCCAACAGGATTTTGGACACTCAGTGAATTCAGTTCATGATGATTCTTGATCGAATCCTCCTTGCACTCGCCCTTTTTGCTTCACGGGACACTTGGCCTTCTTCTATATAGCTTGGCACCAAACTTGCATCTCATTTTGAATACCTTTGCTGTGACTACTGCCAAGAAACACTTGTGTATGTTCTTGAAGTTCTTCGGTCTCGTCTGTATGATACTCATTCCCTTTTACATCCAAAAAGAACCCACAAAAATTCATATTCTACTGAAATTACAGTTGGTGTATTATACATATGTTTGGAGTTTATTTGAAGTTATTTGTTGTGAATGAAATTATTTATTGTTATCATGTTATTGAGGTGAAGAATAAAAGTTAGCCAAAGTCCTTTGCAATATGGCCAACAATCCCTTAGAAAGAGCCAAAATGGCCTTTCATGCTGGAAAATATATATGCAGTGTGTGAGTGATAAGACAACGAGAAATGAGGGGATTTTAAGTTTGTTATGTCACCTTTCTTCATTGTTGTTAATCGAACTAAAATTTCTATTTCTGAAATTAAATGAATTGTGAAACTAAATATTTTAGCTCAATTTTAAAAATTTTAGAATTAGTTGTAAATTCATAATTTTGCACTACAAAATAGTCTGTAACTGATTTTAGTTAATTTGGTTAACTGACACTTTCGAATTGAATTAATTGTTAATTAAAATTCTTAACAATTAACCGACCTTGTTGGCCTACAAAAACTTAGAAAAAACCCTACTTTTAGAGGTAATGTAACGATTGAAAGAGAATTTGAAGTGTAACTACTTATCCACTAAATCCGTCCGTGTCTTGGGACGAGCATAATAGTTGTGAAACAAAGAATGCCAAAAATTGAGTCAAAAAATACCTGCTGGAAACGGAGTTGCCACCAAAATAACTACCATTTTACTCTGCTTTAGAAGTTGGAACTCCGCCCACCTATACTACAACCATTGTCCCTTTCTTTTTCTTGCTTCTTCAATGGATTCTACCGGTGTTGGTAGATCAGAAATGCTCATCAGCTTGGCTCAAAGGCTTCGTTTATATAAACCCGATCACACTCCGACTCAACCCACCAGCAGTTCATCTGAAAACCTGAGGATTCAAGGAGTCTCTGCAGAGGAGAAACCTCCCAAACAGGCGAACCCAACCACCATTCACCCCCAAGAACTGAGATCTAAAAGGGCTGCGGTTTTGATCTGTTTGTTCCAAGGCGAAAACGCTGAACTCCGTGTTATTCTCACCAAAAGATCTTCGAAACTTTCTACCCATTCTGGTGTGTATTCAAGTTTGGGAATCTGAAACCAGATATGAATTCTATTGGGTTGTTAACAAATTTGGAGTGTTTTGTTTTGGTAGGTGAAGTTGCATTGCCTGGAGGGAAAGTAGAAGAAGGAGATGCCAATGATATTGAAACAGCTTTGAGGGAGGCTAAGGAGGAGATAGGATTAGACCCTTCACTTGTGGATGTTGTCACTGTTCTTGAATCTTTCACAAATAAGGTAAAGTTTGTAGCTTTAATGGAGGCCTCAATTTTATGGTGCTTTTTAACTAGTTCTCACTGTTCTTGAATCCTTTACAAGTAAGGTGAAGCTTGCTTGCAGCTTTAAATTCAGGCCTAAATCTATGGTGCTTTTTCACTAGTTATGAGGACTACAAATGACATTATTAACTTCCTAGAAGAACATGTTCTCTTTAGCCTTTGGCATGAAGATTATCAAATATTCATTAATAACTGGACAAATTGTAATTGTTTATGTTCCAAACTGTTTTGTTAAGAGCCATTCTCCCGGATTAATAAATTACTCCTCAGTGACACTACATTCATGTGAAAAGTCTGGTATATTCGGGTCAACCCCAGTCAAGTTGGTCAGACTATTGACTTGGTAATCACGAAGTTACAAGTTCAACACTCAATGGGAGTGGCCTATTGGCCTTTTTGGTTTAAGCCGATCAGCTATGGACAACCTAGACTGGCTTACCTCCTTGTGGTCCTTTGGGCCGGCTAGGGTTACAAGGCGAGTTTTACCCAGTACACACTCCCGGTCTCGGATAGTGTCTGCAGGTTTCTCTCGTCACTCAAAAGTCAGCTATATTCCTTAAAATGCCCCAATTCTAGTTTCCTTATAATGACATAAGAACTTTGAGCAAGTATTTCACCAACCTCAACCAGTTTGCCAATTGTTCTGTCTGTCATGCAGCGTGGTATGACAGTAGTTCCAGTGGTTGGCATAGTTTGGGACAAGAATTTGATGAATCTCATTGCAAATGCTGATGAAGTAGACGCCATATTTGATGCTCCTTTAGAGATGTTTCTGAAGGTATTCGAGTCCAGATTCTTGAAATTCTTATGATTATACCTCATATCTGTAGCGAGTAACTATATACTCGATGAATTCAGGACGAAAATAGAAGACAACAGGAGCGCGAATGGATGGGAAATAAGTATCTGCTCCATTTCTTCGATCATCAGGCAGAGAATGAAGTTTATATTATTTGGGCTCTAACTGCTGGGATTTTAATCAATGCTGCCTCCATCATATATCAGAGACCACCTGACTTTCAAGAACTACGGCCTAAATTTTGGAGCAGAAGCCGCCAATGAAGATTGTATTGTCTAAGAAAGTTTTAAACAGAAAAATATATAGTCTTTGCAGTGTCAAATTTGTCTGAAAGAAACTCTAATATGAAGCCATTTGTATTTCTATTATTTCCATTCTTTGGAAGATATGAGCTTTTACTTCCATCTGTTCGTTCTGAGAATTCGCAAAACTATAGGACAACCAAATTTATATTACTACACTGATATATACCATGTTATTTACAATACATTAACAGGCTCAGAAGCTACTGAGATTGTGGTGATGATAGTATGGAAAAAGCAGTGATGAGTTTGTAATGTTTATAATGTGAATCAATATAAATAGGGTGATAAACTTCTAAGGACTTAAGCTTTGAGCTTCAAATAAAGTTATGCCTGGGCCTGTTTCAAATGAATAATTAAGAAGTCCAAAGTTTCGACTTTTTGACTGACAAGGGAAACTCGTAGCCACTATCCAAGGGTGTAGACTGGGTAAACCCTACCTTGTGGCCCTTGCTGGCAAAGAACCACAAGGAGGTAAACCAGCCTAATTTGCCCATAACAGTCAAACTTGTAACCTTATGGTTACCAAGTCAATAGTCTGACCAACTTGGCTGGTGTTACCGAGAGGATCATAGAAAGTGACAAAACAATAAAGTTGACTTATTGTCCCTTGTGAGCACCCATTTATGGACTACTAAGGAATTAGCCTCTGAGTTCCAAATCTGTGTCAGCATCTATGCAATAACTCTATCATCCTTGCTGTAAATTCACTTTTGGGTAAGTCATCTTCCATAATCTCCATCTTCTTCATGCCTCTCCACTGTGTTCTTCTCCACACATGGCCATTTATATAGTGGACTGCACACACCTCATTCTTGAACATAACTGGACACTCAATATTTTCTCGATACATCTGCGAATCAGGGCATCCACCACAACTGCCAAACTATTTGTGCTTCTTGCATCATTGTCCTCATAGATTAAAGAAAAAGATAAATTCTTGTTCAAGAACAAATGTGTATATATATATATATATAGATCCCTCTACTTTGATTTACATACTCTTACACCTACTACTTCAAAGTTCATACCTGTCAATCTCTAGAGGATTACTGGAATGATGAGTTGGTTGAAGTTTTCAATGAGCCTTATATTATTGCTCTTGCTTTTGCTTTCACCACCAGTAACCGAAGCCCGGGCTCTCAGGCATATTATTAAGATGTCGAAGGAAGCATTCGAGGCAGAATTTGAGAGTATGAGTCCGGGCAGACCTGAACGCGTCAGCCCTGGGGGACCTGATCCTCATCATCACTTTTGAACATTTCTAGTCTCTCAATGCTTATTATGATCAATGGAACTCACAGAGAAAACATTTTGTGTGTGCTAAAGCTTGCTGTGCTATTTGTAATTTTCCATTGTCTATGTTAGCTCTGTCTGCACTATCTGATGAAGGAGAGTTGGAAATGGTCCAAAAATGATTGTTTGTGAGTTTTCATTTTGATTGTTCAATAAATGTAACTGTTGAAGAATAAAATGCCTTATTATTCACCTGTTGCCTCTTATTATAAATGGTACTTTTATGATGTTTTTATGCCTTCAAATCTCAACCGAAATCTTCAAAATGTTTAGATAGCAAAGCAAAATCGGTATTCATAGCGAATTCCAATATTCCACTATTTGGGTTATTAGGCTACCCTATAATCCCATCATGTATAAACAGACAAGGATTACTTTGTGCACTAATGGAATACAAACAAGGAAATCTTGATTTGTTAGCCACCAGAGTAGGGGTGGGCGTTTCGGAATTTGGTTCAATTTTTTTTTTATTTCAGTTTTGGTATTAGTATTTTGGTATTAAAAAAATGATATCATTCATTTTAACATTATAATTCAGTTCGGTTTGAAAAATTCGATTTCGGTTCGGAATTAGTTTAATTTAAGAACTTCAATTTTTAACATTTTCTAATTTTCTAGACAATACATATTCACATAGTCCAAATCCAAAGTCTAAACATTATATAACAAAATAACAATCTAAAGTTCAAACACACTACTAAGTACTTATTACCAAACATCAGTTGACCTTTTTGCCCAACCGACTCTTCAATTGGCTTACTTGGAATGTTTTGTTGACAAGATGAAGAATCATCCATCTGTATAGTTAATATTTGGAGAACAAGTATCAAATACTGCACTGAAATATTATTTTTTTGGTGCACTAGAATATTATTTTCCTGTGCACTAGAAATATATTCTAGTACTGGAAAATAATATTCCAATGCACTAGAAATATTTACAGTGGTTCCAAGCACGGGAAAAATATTTCCAAGCACTAGAAATCAAAATTATAATGATGTTGAAGCACATTATTAATTAATTTCATAGAAACAGAAACTAAAAAAAAATATTGAATATTGTAAGAATAACTCAAGTTAGAGAAAGAACAATTGTGACTACAAAGTAGAGAACAAGCCATTAAAAAAATCAAATAAAACATTTAAGAGAGATACCATTGAGATTATGAGCTGAACGGCGAAGTAAGCAACAAGAAACTTGGATTTACTTCCTTTTTTATCATTATTATTATTTTTAAAAAAAAAAAAACAAACAAACGATGGTCAATTCAGTTCGGTTCGATTTTTTACCAAACCGTTCGGTATACAAGGATCCATTACCATTTAATTGTTCGGTATATTATCGAACCGAACTAGTTCGGTTTGAAAAAATCGAATCGAATTGCCTACCCCTACACCAAAGTGCTGTTGTCTTTTAGTCCTGACCAAGTATTAGGAAAAAAAAAAAAAAAAGCAAAGACACTTTACATAAACACAAACTCTGCACTAATTGCCCCTTTCTCCATCCATATTAGGAGATACTTTAGGTTTTATGGTTCCAATGTTGACTTGCGAAAGATTAAAAAACCAGGAAATTCAATAAGGGAAATATGATCATTTGGCCACCATCTCCACTCAATGTTTTTAATTCTCCTCTCTTCAGGCAGAACCAAAAAAGTTGAAGTTGGATAACCACATTCTCAAGAAAATGATTATCTGATCTGATATGCAACTTGTCCTTTTAGGACCTAAAAGTGCAACTCCTTTTTCATAAACAGACAACATAAAAGAATCAGCAGCACTATATTCTTGAATCTTGACCAATATAATGTTGAATTCCCACGCGGCGATTTGAATATAAAGGCAGTGGCTTCATCACACAGTTAGGAGAATGACAGGGAAACCTTTTAGGCTGATGCGACTCTGTTGTCTTATGTTCTAAAGTAACCTTTGTCTTATTAGTGTTTTTTATTCGAATGATTGCATGAGAGTATGAGACAAATGATATGTTTATTCTCAAAAATGATATGTTTCAAATCTATCCAAGAATGCACATATCATTAAAGTGGCAAGATGAGTAGTCATCCAGTGAAAGCAATTCCATTAGAGTGAAGGCCAAAAATCCTCTCGGAATGCACATAGTCTTGGATACTATACTTACGGTTCTTATATATATATATATTCACGTAACGTTATTTGATGCATCACTACATTATTGCTATCAAATATAATCTCTACTGGGAAGCTCTGCATTACTGCACTTTTGCACCGAGAAATGGCAAGTTTAAGATGCATGCTAAGTCTAGTGTTCATTTTCTTGATTCTTTCCTTGAATGTCAGCAGTTCAAATGCAACAAGATATCGTGGATTAGTGAATATGCAGAAAAGGGTGAATAGCAGGCAAGTTTTACGAGATTTAGGCTCCAATTTGCCGAAAACAATCAGAAACAATAACAAGGTGGGAGGGGGTAAAGACAGATTGGCACCTGAGGGACCTGATCCCGAACATCATTAGCAATCTTCAGCTAGCTTGCCCAGAATGCCATCCCCCGAAGGAACTGCTTGCATGATTATATTTTATATATCACTAAAGAAAACATCATCGATCTGCACACAAATATATAGTCTTTTACATGTTTCAACTGACAAAGTTAATCAAATGAAGTCATGTCAGAGAGTATAAAGTTTGTATGCAAGACTTTGTATGAATCTATCATTACCTTATCAATAAAATGTCTCTAGAAGTTGTTCTTAGTCATCTCATTTCTTCAACTGTTAAAATTTTGGCACGAACATTTATACTTCTATACTAACAGTCCGAACTTTTCACAGCAAATTGATTACAAGGTTGCAAAAGAGGGGCATCAGATAAACCACATCATCTGGTTTGTAATTTATAACAGAAGAACAGGACCAACAAAAGTGCTACATAGTACAATGTTTATGTATTAAAAAGTACAAAAAGTTGGCATGGAAATTGAACAAGTTGATATCGAGATATTGTTTGTAGACAGACCCGATTTAAGGATCAGAATCAAGAACAGCATATGCCGATTTAGTTCTTCAAGTTTTCAAAGGATTTGAGGGGATCATTTGGATCAATGTCATCTATGAGTGGGAAATCAACCATTAGAGTTTCCACACTGGAGCCTAGTTTCTTCAGCACATCAACCACCTCTTTAAACACGATAGCATTCCCAGCACGACTGAGGTGCAAACCATCACTGCATTTCAAGACTAGGATGAATCGAGCAGATTATATGACATAGAATCAAACATGTATTCGTTTTCATATGAAGTTAGACTGTCTGGTGTCCATATAGTTAAGATTACCTCAGACAAGCAGTTTGCCAGTCTGGAACTTCCTGAACTTTTATCCATAGATCCACAGATGGAATTCCAAGTTCTGCTGCAACAGCAAGACACGCTTTGGCATAGGTTCCAGCAGCTTCATATGTCCTTTCTGGAAGGCCCGATTTGTTTTCAGTAAATGGATATCTGCACATGGTTTTTAAGTAACATCATATCATAGTTTCTCATAACAGTCATCCACACGAATTGTAAGTAACAGTAGAGATGTCCATTAAAAAAAAAATAACAAAAAATAAAAAAATAAAAAAATACTACACTCTGCATATACACGTGAAATGAATGTGTGGAGAAGAACTTTACAGAAGGCGTGCTGGTTCATAAATTGGAGGCGGTGTAATGAGGATGACATGCACTGTTGGCCATTGTTTCTGAAAAATAAAAAACTTGCATTTTAGCATAGTTTTTAATAACCAACATCAACATTAAAATAAAAGCAAGAATTTACACCTGCAGAAACTATGGGGGAAAACAACTTACATTAAGATTGTTTTTCTCTTCATGCTGAAATAACTAATTACTTTATGTCTAATACCACATAATAAACCTTTGATATAAAACCATCAGCTTAACAATGTAGAATGTAACACAGGGAGTTTAAACCTTTTTTCTTTTTTGGCCTTGTATTAACAAGACAATTAACTATAGAGCCATACCCCAAAAAAAAAAAAAGAATGAATCCTGGTTCACAAACTCACGTAAAAAACAAGCATGAAGATATGAAGATTGTTTATCTTGAGGGCAATAGTTCTTGCTTTACTTAAAGTTTCTTTATCAGTTGCATGAGGACCACTCCCTATTCAAAGTCATGCAATATTCAAATCATCAAATGTACACTTAAATTGGTGAACAGATCTTTCTGGGTAGAATAAAACGATGAACAACCAACCAAATCACCCCAGTAGCCGATATTTTATAAGAAAAAGAGGGTACATTCTTTGTAAAGCTATGCGAGCATTGTACTGCCTTATAACCTTTGTGAATAAACAAAGTTATAGGGGTGAGTGAAAATGACAGGGCACTCCATGCAATGTATTAAATAATTTAGAAGCAAAAGCCTAGTAAAAATGGTCAAGTGGCAAACACTAATAGCAACTACTGGGCCTCCTGGGTATATACTTTTTGCTAATTTACTTTCAAGTGGCCCTTCCCGGCCCACCAATTCAAAGACTTCAAGAAGCAAAACGGGATTTGGAGATTGTCCATAGATGGACCACTGTGATAGCTTTAATATGTTTTTTGCTGGACTAAAGTTAATATAATTGATATAGACTTCTCAGAATGATGTGTACAGTCAAACAAACAATCAAAGACAGAAGGAAGACCCAAAAGGCAGATACTTTCGATTGATTCTTCACTTGAGCACTTCAAAAAAGTTCACCAAATCAATATTCCATAACTTTTCTCTTTTAGTAAACTCATATTGTAAACTCGACCCAAACTTTTTATGCCCACCCTGAAGGCCTCAACCTCTGACTTAACCCCCATCAAGGTTATTTATGTTCTTCATCTCAAGGTACCTGCACTTATACTCTTCTCCCCAGCTGAATAAAGGAAAGTATACCATGTTCCTTCCACCCTTACTAAGAGTAATTTTCATTACACATTCAATCATACCGAAACTGAAGTAATTTCTTGCATCATCTCCATTCACACTAAAGGCAAAGTGGGTAGTACTAATACCTAGTAGTTACAAGAAATATACTAGCTTCCCATCTAATGGGCCGCTGAGTCACCGTGATTTACCACCTCCACAAATCCTGTCGGCCCGAGGTGTGGGGGCCAGGGGTGAGGGATTTCGCCTTTTGTGGGCAAGAAACATGCTATCTTGGTTAATACATTATGCTTCACCTTGTACAAAGATTTGCATCATTAACACCGAGTACTTAGAACCTACATGCCAACCTATTCATGCCATTTCCAACATTATTACATACATAGTTAAGAAATCAACTAATTTCGTTGGTCACTTAATACAGAAATGTCCATTTTATGTTAAAGATTATTTTTAAAGATACTTAAAAACAGTTTTAACTATCATTGATAAGAAATGCTCACAAATACATAACAACATAAAGATTCAAACTTGTGACTTGAAAGTTAAAGATTTTTTTAGTGGGAAAATTGGTGGCATTTTACATATTAGATCTCAAAATATTTTTCTACTCCCTACGTGGAAGTGTGGAACACAACAAGACACAGCTGCAGACTGAGTCATAACACCGGACAACGTTAACATGTTTCTAGGAAAAATAAACACAGGAAGTATAATATGTCCAAAAATGAGGTTTTGGAGAGTTCTCAACAAACTCCAAATCCCAATGGCTGGGGCTTTGGAGTGTGGAATACCTTGAAGAAGGAGACAATAGAACACAGATTCTGCTTATACTCATCGACAGGCACGTGCTGGAAGGAAGAACATCTATCGGGAACACAGGCATCGTTTGCTCCGAAGAACACCGTAACCGCCAGCGGCGCACCTCCGCCCTGCTCCGCCGGGAACGCCTTGTCTATTATCCTCAAAGCCCACCTGGTGTTGTAACCGCTGAACCCTCTCAACACCACATCGGCCTGAACCAAATGCACACACAAAATTACACACACACACACAAAAGAAGAAGAAAGAATTGAAGAGCAGAGAGATGATTTGATGACCGTTCGACGGAAGTGATCGGCGAGGGAAACGCCCCAGCCACCATCCTCGACCTCGAAGGACATCTCGGTGATGGAGTCCCCAAAAAGATAAATCTTTGGCCTCATTATGGTCTATGGATGATCACTCCCACTATTTTCTCTTACACTAATCTGATCCACCAACAAAAGCAGAGTTCATAGCACTGTGTTTATGTACTAAGTGTCACCCTCATCAAAAACGTGCTTTTGACTTTTGACTCTTTAGCATATGCCAACGTTGAAGACCATTGGTCTTGCTTTTGGTTGCCCACATAATCATTTCGGAATTACGTACGAATAACATTTTAATTTTTAGAAAAATATTACTCCATATTATTCTTCTCCCAAAATCCTCAACTCCGATGACCCCACAGAATATTTAAAAGATGTAAATTACAGTGACTCAATAGTTCAGCAAACATAGTAAATTATCGGTGCGTACGAGAGATGTGCAACTTTAGACATAATTTTCACATTGTGTTGTTGAGGTTCGAACATTGATAGTACGGGCAAAAATATTCATATTCTATTTTATAATAAAGTAGTCCGCGTATTAATTGACTACGGTGAGTTATCAGTTATTTAACATTATTATCAATTATCAATTTTACAACAAAAATTATAGTATTACTTGATTTGTCATACGTTTTAATGTTTTATGTATATATTAAATATTGTTTGATTTGTAACGTATTTTATTCAAAGATCAAATCTACATCTTTTCATATAAAATCTTATAACAAAAACTTTAGTATTACTTGAATTTGTCATACGTTTTATGTATAAATTAAATTATGTTTGATTTACCCTCAAACAAAAAAATTATGTTTGCTTTATAACGCATTTTATTTCAAAGATCAAATCTACATCTTTTTCATATAAAATCTCAAACCAACAAAATATAGAATTTGAGGGCTTAAATTTGATAACTACATTGATCTATGTGACAAATCATTGCCATTTGAAATTATATCATAAGTGATTGTTGTTGATTTGTATCTATCCTAGCATCTCACATGTCGGTATAAGATTTGAACCCTTCCTGCATTGCGCATGGCGTTAGCTTGACCCGGTTTTGCCATGGCACCGAAAGCGATTCCACCCAAGTCAAACCAAACCGGCAGATCGTTACAAGCACCAGGACATTCATCTGTTATATGGACTTTTATAGGCTTTCTTGAACATGATGGATTTGAAATGCATTTTACTAGGTAACATTGTCCACACCCTTTGCCTCTCTTAAATAGAGCTTGATTTCCTGCAGATATAAAGGAATTGTAAGGATGTCTGCCTACATTTCCAAATCCACATGCTCCAGTATCAGTTCCATGTCCATTTGGTGGACCGTACCATGTTGCAATAGCAGGTGCAAACCTAGCAAAAGTCCCATTTAATTGATTTCTACAATGGCAACAATTAATAAGAAATAAGAACACAATAAACATTATACAGTGTGAAGAAGCCATAGCTAGTTACTGTAGTTTTACTTCAATTGCATTGGAGAATCTTTTATCTTCTTTCAATTTATAATGTATTGGAATTTATTTACCTTGAATTTGTAACGTATTTTCTTTAAAGCTTTTATTTATTTCTTTTAATTAATGCTTTGTAGAGACGTTAAAAACTAAACACATGCAATTATTTCTTTTTTCGGCATACACAATATGGGTACTTGGTGTGTGTTTATAAACCTGAGGGTTAAAATGAAACTTTGTAAAACATAAGAGGTCAAAGTGAAAATCCATAACTCAATGTCTAAATCTAATTGGGCTTCCAATCTTCCATTCTGTCGGGTCTCATACAAGTCACAACCCTAGAGATTGCGTGGGCAGAGCGGAGAAGAAAAAGGGGAATCGCGAAGTCAGTCAACGATGTGTTGTGGAGAAGACGGTGAATGCCGGCCGTTGGGGTTTCTGTTAGGCCTCCCTTTCGCCTTCGTCGCCCTCATCCTCTCCGTCGTCGGCGCCGCCATCTGGATCGTCGGGTACTCCGTTCTCTCCACATATCACTGCAACCATAAAAATCGCGTTATTCTATTTTTTTTTTTCAATTATAGAATTAATTAATTCTGGCCAGGGAAAGAGACAGGTTTTATGGTTTTGAATTATTTTTTAATTGGGAAATGAATTTGATCGGGTGATTGCAGGAGTTTGGTGAGTTGCGTGTGCCCGTGCTGCTTTTGTATAACGTGGATCGTAGAGTTGGCCGTGTCGCTGATCAAGGCTCCATTTTCGGTGATCAAATGGTTCACTGAACAAATCCCTTGTTAATCAAGGTGCACTCTGTATCATCCTTTTTTTTTTTCCTTACTGCTGCCCTGTATAATAATTTACACCACAGTCTTCTTCCTCACTTTGATCTTTTTGTGGATCGTTAACATCACGGCTTAAATAATCATTCTTACAGGTTTATTATGGATGATGATTAATATTTAGTTTATTTTTGATTTGTTTGCGCCATCGTATCAAAATAAATTAAAGAATTTGAGTTAGCTGATCAAAATGTTTTTCATATTTTATTTATTTATTTATTTTTGTGATGAATATGATATTGAAACATTTGATAGTTCATATTTGGTGTTTACTTATAAATTAGCTAATGCTATTGTAAACTAAGCTGATTAAGCTGTGATTTGATATAAACAACATATAATTGATCATGAAATGGTTATTGTAGAGTACTTACCACAACAAGATATATGGATTGTATAAGACTTGTGAATTCATCTAGGCTAGTTCCGGGTTGAATTGTACTGCTTTCTTTAAGTTAAGATGTCTGTGGTTTGAGTGTTTGGTGTTGAGTTGTTTATTTGAGTAAAAGTGAGAACTAGACTATTTTGTTAGGCTAGTGTTTATATGTCTGGTTATCTTAACATAAATTATTAAATGATTTTGGGTGTGAATTATAGCTTACGAAGAAAATTGGGACGTGTTTGAAATTTGAATAAAGATCCCGTCTTGGTACTTTGTGGATTGATGAATTAAGAATCCACTCTCTGAGGAAGTATTTATGTATAGAAGGAGAATCTAATAGTTATGATCAAGTCAATATAATCTAAAAACGCGGATGGTTGTGGCCATGAAGCAGAAGCTAAGAGAAGTTATAACATATTGCACTAGGTTGGTAATAATCGCTTAAGTCTATCTTTTATAGTGATTCAACCATGTGCTTGGATCCATATGACTTTAGTTAGCATTGTCGAGTGACTAAAGGTGATCCATCATGTGATGAGCCAAATGATTTGTACACGCTAAATGACTCGCGAATGGAAAATGCTTAGGCCATGTGAAAGTGACTTGATATCTAAGACCTTATTAGGCCAAATTCAATAAAGCATATGTAAATATGTAATAACTCTAAGTCTCTAACATAGTATGATTGATGTGTTATCTTCCTACCTAACGTTGTTATTTAGTGGATTATTATGAATTTAGGACTTCATTGCCCTTGTTTGGTGTTATTTTTTTCTCTCTTTATTTGCTTGATATTTGGAAATAATGCTAGAGTTTTTTTTTTTTTTTTTTTTTTTTTTTTTTTTTTTTTTTTTCCCAATACGAGGGAGGGGGGAGTGAGAAGCAATAATATAAAGGTATATATTACAAGAATATGGATCAAACAATTTCAACAATATCTATAAATATTAAAAGCCTAAGGAAGGTGATCATGATGTGTTTGGAACGATGGACATGTCTTAATACCTGATAGTACATTTCAAGAATGCATAACTATGACCTGTGGCAAAAATGTTGGATTAACTGGTGCAATAATAGTTTTAGAGGAAAGCACCATCACTGGATAGTACTGTAAGCCTAGTTTTTGCAACACAAAATCTTATTAATTGGCTTGATTCATGCTTCATCTTGTTGTCACTTTCGCCAGAAATGAATTCTTGATTTGATCTAATCTCTTGGTGCACTTCACTGCAATTTTAATGCCTTGGCGCAGTACACATTTAAAAGCAGAACCTAGTCCTCATTTCCCAAAAAGACAATAATAATAGGCATAGTTTCTCATTTGTGTTGAATGTTATATATTGCCAAATGCATGATTTTATTTAATTGACCAAAGTTTAAATTTTATTTTATTTTTTTTGAAAACAATCATCAAAGCGAACTATTATTGCGAAATCATATCACGAATATAATGAGGGATATTGCGAAATCATATCACGAATATAATGAGGGATATCTGCGTCCCACACCTCTCGACCAATATATGAGCAAGAAACTCTGGCTAGAGAGTGAGCAATCACATTGCATGTTATATTGTAATTTTTTAACACACTTAACATATTCATAGTATATGTTTAATAATTATGTCAATTTTAATTGGGATGTGGTTCGATCTTGTGTAGATTAATGAGTAAGTTAAGAACAATAAATAGTTAATGGAATATTTCTTTACTAAAATTTACATGGATGGAATGCATGTGTATTTAAGAAAAGTAAATGATATAATAGAGGGTAAAATAATAAAAATAAAAAAATATTAAAATTAAAATAATATGAATCATTCATTATAACAAATAATTATACTAACATTTTTTAGTTTTTGGAAGGACTTAATTTGTAGATTGTAGATAAATGAATGCAATGATCTCTCTTGTTGGAATCATTTCAAAAGCAATCTCCAACCCTTCTTTCTTCCATCATCACAAGCATATGGGGATGGCAACAGGGTCGGGCCAGGGGCAGGGAGTATGCTCCCTGTCTTCGTCGTTGAAACCTCGACCCCATCCCCATTTTTGACAGGAATTGAAAATAGTTACCATCCTCATCTTTGGGGAGAATTAGGCGAATATATATAGACAAATCTAAATTATTAATTTAGTAGATTTAACGGTTGAAAATAAACAAAACTTTGTAATATTTATGAGAACGTCTTCGTTCATTTTTACTTGATTTCTTATCCATCAGATCTTGCAGATCAATTGTTTGGATTTGTCTACAAGTTCTCACTTAGGGAGTGATTTTCATATGATTAGGATTTTATATATATATATATATATATATATATATATATATATATATATATATATATATATTACACACACACACATTTTTTTATTATTATTATAATTATAATAATAATTATTCGGGGACAGGGCAAGAAGGGGTATCCTCGTCCCCAACAGGGAATTACATACATTTTTCGTTCCTGGTCTTCAACAATTTTCTCCATCCCTGTCTTTTTCGGAACGGAGATTAAGAATCCTTGTTAGAAATGGGACAAATTATCATCCCTAAGCATCACCTTCCTCTTCCTCCTTCAGTGTTATTTCCGGCCTAAACAGTGGAGTGGATGACTCTCACTTTTAACTTTGAGTATCCTTTATAATTATTTGCTCCATAATAGATTAGAGTCGATATAAAATCGTATCAAAATTAATCTTATTTCTAATCATCTCATACAACATAGCCACCAATTGGTCATCGTAACCACTTTCTTCTTTGGACAATTAATTAAAGTAATAGGCAAATAAGTTGCCAGTCTAAACAATTGAATGGACGGCTCTCACTTACAACTTCAAATATTACTTTACAAATACTTATAAATTAGAGCAGGTGCGAAACTATATCAAAATTAATTCCGTTTCTAATCATCTTGTACGACATAGCCGCTACACCATCATGGCCAGATTTTGGGGGCGTGCAAGATGGACAACAGCATAGGGCTTCAACTTTAGAGGACCTAATATTTACACTGTTCATACTTATTTGAAATAATAAAAATCATATATTTTATAATAAAAATTGTGATTTTTTGTGTTTCAGATGGTGTTACACCGTTTTTACTTATTTGAAATAAAAATCATATATTGTACAGTATTGGTTTTAAAAGTTAATTTTATGAAACTAATTAATATTTTAAATTTTTGTGCTAACAATTATTTTCAAAAAAATACTTTAAAAAAAAAAAAAAAAAAAAGAAGAGTAAAAACTAGCATTTTTATGCCACATAGCCTTACACATCCGTTCAAGATGCATATATCATACATGCAGTGTATCTGTACGTGGACAAAAAATTCCCTCGAGAAAATCAACGCAGCCCTAATTTTAATTTAGTTTTGTATGTCAAAGGTTGAAACTTCAAATCCCTAACAACCATTGATATTGGATTCTCTTACTACAGACAGGTGCAATGAATCTTGTTTGTCTTTTATTTGTGTTGGGGAATTATCATTAGATTCTATGTCTAGTTCAATAAATCGATACAAGTTCGTCTAATCCGAATGTACGAGTCAACATTCAACAATAACACCTACAATTCTCATACTTTGGAGTGTGTGTTTCATGATTCTGAGGTATATTCGTCACTTTTAGTGTGTATATATATATATATATATATATATATATATATATATATATTCTTAATTTTACTTTTATAATTCACATGCTAATATGTTTGTTATATAACACATATTTATGTATTTCATATTCTATTATAATGTCCATTTTCATCAAATTTTTACATTTTCCTAATTTAGGGTGCGCGTATACATGCAACAATAAAAAAGGCTTAAGTTGATGAATTTAAAAAAATCTTTTTTGAGGGTCATTTGTACTCCATTAAAAACTTTATCGTTGCAACAAATGACATGCGATACAAAACTACGCACCACAAATACAAGATCATGTTCATTCATTCTACAAAAGTCTTTGAGTATAACAATAACGACTTTCCAAACATGACATACATGTTGAAAGCTTTCGATCAACTTGGTCCTACCCAAATTAATGTTTCCGAACTATTTGGTAATACTTATTTACGGTCCTCATTTCGTTTACCATTTCAAGTATTTTATATATATATATATATATATATATATATATATATATATATATATATATATATAAAATGTAGTTGTTATTGTTATGATGATAAATCTCTATAGATTTGGTTGGTTCTATTGTCTCGATTGAATCTCCACGTACAACCATAATTAATGGACGGGACACCAAGTTCATCCACTTTATTCTTCAAGATCATGAGTAAGTCATGTTATATTAATCAACTTTACACTTAATCATGGATCATATGTGTTTTATAATGTGTGTACGCCTTATAACAATCTTTTTTTTTTTTTCTCTTCTTAGATAGAGACGTTTACCTTGCACATTTTGGGAGCAATATGTTGATCAACTATTACAGCATGTCAACTATGACAACCCTAATCCAGTTGTTCTACTCATTCAGTTTTGTCGTGCAAAAATGTACAAGAGTAAGTTACTATTATGTATTCTCGAGTAAACAACCCAGGTGGTCTTAAAATATTAATTGCCAAGAACTCAAATTCCTCTATTACATCAACAACCAACGTGATATACCACGAAGTTTTCAATAATTTATAATTTTGTCACTCTTATTTTTCTATATTGTATGTTAAAGTAATTTCTTTATTATTTCTATTTTCCATTTTATATTCCTGATCCAACTTTTTATATATTACATCATCTCTTAAATTTTTCACACAGTTACACAATAAGATGAACAATATTCATCCTGCGCATCGCACAGGTATCATACTAGTTTAGTAAAATATGAGATATACGCAATAGAAGGGATTCCATCAGCAAAATTTCTACCTCTGCCAATATTTTAGCAACCAATTTAAGTAGGTAAGTTGGTGAATAGCGTATGTAGAGTGTTAGGTGGAGATCGATTTCTAAAACCTAAATTGCCAATAATAATGCCGACCCCATTTTTATTTTTTAATTATTAGCCACCATTCTCATTGGATCGCAAGTGGATTGGAGTTACAAATAATAAATAAATAAATAAATAAATAAATAATTCTCAACTGGACTTGGACAATTCAAAACAATCACGAACATATGGGGAATTTGTTTATATATATATATATAACCACATAAAGATATAAAGAAAAAGAAAAAAAAAAGATTTATATGGAACATATTTTTAGTATTATATGAAATATATTAGGTAGATTATTTGATTCATATATCATGTAGTTCATTCACCTTATTTTATATGTCTAGTTTGATTATCGAGAATTGAGTCGTTATTTATAATTCAACTTTTCGTAATAGTTAATTTAGTATTATATTACTCCGTAGTATATAAAATTTATATATTTAGAAAATACATTAAAAGTATTATTAAATATTAAAAAATAAATTTAAAAATTATTTTAAACAAATACAAAAAAATAAATGAAAATAAAAATTTATTTTGATCAATGAATAGTAAATATAACAAGTAGAATGTGACAATTGGAGTAATATAATGTACGGACATTAGCATTTATGGAACACCATTTCAATCCATCATATTCTAAAAGTCTTTGTCAGTTGACTATTGTTGTCAACTCTATGAATATGTTTATTAATCAGTAAAATTATCTATTTAAAAAATAATAATTTTTTTTTAGAAAAAGGTAATATGTCTCCTTGTACATTTAGAAAATAAAATTTAAAAATATAGAATGAAAAACTTGAAAAAGTAAAAATAAATGATTAAGATGAATACTGCCCAAAATTTACATCTAAATTAAACTCCAATTTGATCAGCAGCACGTGTGAATAAGAAATCGCGCGTGTGGAATATGAAAATATTGTTCAATAATATACAGATAAGATCATGTCAAAAGTTGTGTGCTCGCACATGGGCTACACAATTATAATCAATAAGAATAATGCTTATAAACACTACAAAAGTAGTTTAATTTGTCCACACAAGCAAGCTAGGCTAATAATGAAATTGTATAAATTAAAATTCAATCTGTCCACACAGCAAGCTAGGCTAATAATGAATGTCATGATTATGATGAGACAACTTATTATATTTTTATTGAATGTCATGATACTCTAATAAGATAAAATAACGTATATAAATAAATTTTCTCATCATTTAATAAGAGAATTTTAAATTCTTTTAATGTCATGCAATGTCACGTCTTTTCATCGCTCTCTCGGACTCTATCAAGAGCATACTTCCACCAAGGGACAATGGAGCAGTTGCCCCCTCACCTACCCCATTATATATATATATATATACACACACACACACATACATACACACACACACATACATATATGCTTTAGTATAAATAAACTATATATTATTATAAATAAAAATTATTGAAAGTTGAAGCAGCTTAATTTGTTGATGGTGAGTTTTTATTATAAAAGATCGCTTTGTTTTAAAATTGAAACAAAGAAAGGTTAAATTTGAGAAAAGATTGATGATATAATATAGGTGGTGGGTAGCTAGTCAAAGCTTTCTCAATACAAATGCACCATTTCTTCCCTGGCTTGCTTAGAAAAAAATAATGTTTCAAGAGTTGGTTTAGATAGAATAAAAATATAATTTTGTTGACTAATCTTCATGGCTTCAATTCCATGATAATCTTTGCTTCAAACATTAATTTTGTGGACGAAGAAGGAAACAAATTATGACATGGCTTCCATAAATTACAATTCTCGATTTACTCTTAGCTAGCAACACAAATAAATTTTCTTGTTATATTTGTTATTTCATCAACCACTAATCTAATGCTATAATTTTGTATTCCAACATCCTAAACTAATATCCTTATATCTAAAATTCAACCAACCACCAATAGTTACTATTGGGTAGCGGCTCGAAGAGTTGGGTCCATCATGTTATCATCAAAACGTGACACTGCTACATAAATATAAATAAATAAAATTAAGTTTTCTTTAAGCGTTTGTTATTAACAATTAGTATTATAGTAGGCTTTGAGGATGTGAGGGGATTTTTGAGAGGGGCTACCAAGTTTTTTTTTTTTTTTTTTTTTTTTTTTTTTTTTTTTAAGGTTGTTGCATAGTTACACGTACCGTGTCGGAACTCGGAAGGCAAATTTGGGTCGTTAAATGAGAAAATTAAAGAGACCGTTGACCAGTAGAGTGCAAATGTGCAATAATATTCAACAAAACACCAACAAAATATTGGGTGAATCCATGTAAGACATGTGACAATAGGTTGGCTAGCATGTTACATATATACTATAGACCACTAAGCCCACGTGTTGTGTACTCAACAGTTATGCCATGTACCCGAGTCCACTTTTGCAAGGTGGACTCAGATTCAAAATACACAATTTATATACTGAATGTTCACAATTTGAATTGTGAATATTCAATATGTAAATTGTGAATATTTAGACATTCAATAGGTAAATTGTGAAAGTTCAGTATTTAAATTATGTATTTTTGGACTCAGGTCTACCTTGCAAAGTGAACTCAGATTCACATAATAACCGTTATGTCATGGATTCGGGTCAACCTTATAATGTGGACCCTAGTTCAAAATACATCATTTATATATTGAATATTCACAATTTCATTCAATATGTAATTTGTGAACATTTAGTATATAAAATTGTGAACATTTAATAGGTAAATCATTAAATTGTGAACATTCGGTACGTAAATTGTGAAAAATCAATATATAAATTGTGTATTTTTAAACTAAGGTGACTTTGCAAGGTGGACCGGGTCCACATAATAATTTGCCATTACTATAAAATGGTCTTTTGTTCAAACCGGTAATAAGCCAATAAGCTAGCCAGCCTGCGTTTTCTCTTTCTTAGTTTTTTTTGGTAGAGATTTTCTCTTTCTTATGCTCTTTCATTATTAACACTGCGCCGCTTCTCCGATGGCCGTTGCCCCTTCTTCCTCGTTTCTTGGTGTCCTGATACTCATAGCTTCCATTGGCTACGCCGCCGCTTGCTATTCGGCCGTTTTCGGCTTCGGCGATTCCCTCACGGATGCCGGAAACCTAATCCGCCTTGAGCCTGACGGCACCGTCCCCCACATGTACTTCCCGCCGTACGGCGAAACCTACTTCGACCGACCCACCGGACGCTGCTCCGACGGCCGCCTCATCGTCGATTTAATCGGTTCGTACTGTTGTTTTGCCATTGCCACCTTTTGTTTTCCCCGTGTAATTAACGGTCTCTAATTCTCAGTCGTCATGATTACCCTTCTAATCTCGTATAGTATTTTGAAATTACAGCTCAGCATTACGGGCTTCCGCTTCCGCCGCCTTCGATCCCCGCCAGTTTGGAAGGCGACAAAAACAGGCTCCGTGCCGGAGTCAACTTCGGGGTGGTCGGATCACGTGCGCTCGACGCGCAATTCTATGAGCAGAGAGACATTTTCGACACTGTCACCAACGTTTCCATGACAGATCAATTGAATTGGTTCAAGGAAATGCTCCCATCTCTGTGCTCATCACCTCACGGTACGTCATTTCGCTCCTCCATCCCTACTTTTAAGAAGATTATAGTCACCGTGATTTACATCCTCCCACATACTCTGTCGGGTCGTAATATGGGGGACCTCAGGATTGGAGATTCAGCCTTTTTAAGAAAGATTATATAAATTTGGGAGAAGAAAGATTATATAAATGCCCGCAACTATTTAGTTTAATGATTTAGTAAGCAATATTTAATAAAAGAATGAATGTTATATAAATGACTAATGGTCAAATTGCAATATCATCAATATATGTGACTAAATAACTAATTAATTACCAATTACTCTCTCTATTCCATATTATGTCTCTGATTCGTTTCACTTTATGTCTCTTGATTCGATTAATGGGACTTGATTGAATTTATTTTTAATCTAAATTTTTATAATATTAAATCCATGTATTTAGGCATTACACTAAAAAGTATTATCAAACAAAAAAATTCAAATTTAAAAATAAATAAAAATACTAAAAAAAATAAACAAAGAAGTAAGAGTTGGGTTGACAGTTTTGACCAATGAATAGTAAGTAGGACATATAAAATGAGATAGAGAAAATATCATGTAGTGTGATGATATTTCGATTAGTATTATTAAACAAAAAAATAATGTTATTGCTGGGAATCAAAACTGATTTTTTTTTAAAGTGGAACGTACGTTTTTACTAAAACGACGTTGTTTTTGCATTTGTATACACCATGCATAGTGCATACGAATGCACAGCATAACTTGCCATCATGATCCGATCCTGTGCTAACATTGGCTCAGACCCGGAATTTGGCCACCTCTAATTCAGGGCAACTTTAAATTTCAATGTTTCAAATACTAGCCCGTAAATTACGGATTTCTCACATTGCTAAAAAATATTTTACTGTCAAAATACTTGTCTTTTTATCACGGTCGCTATCAGAAAGTAAATTGTCCTTGAGTTTTTTTTTTTTTTTTTGGAAACAAATTGTCCTTGAGTTATTATATTGTATTTTATTGGATGGTTGCATACCTAAACTCGTAGTTACGTGTCAACACCCTCCATCTTAAAGCTTGTCTTCACCCAATCAAAGACTCCACTTTCTGGATGATGATGCTACGTGGTGCTTCATCACAATTTTCTTCTCTTATTTAATATTTTTTTTTATTTTTCTAAATAATGCTTTATAGTTTAAACCAAGTAACCAACGATGTCTTATTTATTTATTTATTTATTAATACTTTAAAAAATATATGTATATATATACAGATTGCAAGGAGCTATTGGATGGGTCATTATTTGTACTGGGAGAATTTGGAGGCAACGATTACACGCACTCGCTTCTATCCGGAAAAGGTATTAATGTCATCCGACCGTTCATTCCAATCGTCACCCGCGCAATTGCTCAGGCTGTCCATGTGAGTATCAATCAAATGCCATAAATTTATTTGTTCTAATTTATTATATTCTTCGATAGTGACTGTAAATTTTCTTCGTTCAGGAACTAGTGGAGCTAGGTGCGAGGACAATAATGATCCCTAGCGTGTTACCACTTGGATGTGCAGCCTCGTACTTGACATATTACCCAAGTCCTAACCCAGATGATTACGATGAATTAGGTTGTCTCATTTGGGTTAACCAAATGGCTTCTTACCATAACCAACTCCTCCAGCAACAACTCGCCCACGTAAGAGAACTTCATCCCTATGCCAATATCGTCTTTGCCGATATTTACAATGCTGCTATGGAGCTTTACCAGGGTCCTGGTACTTTCGGTATATTTCTATCCTCCCTCTAAGCAAAAAATAATATATTTTTGTTCCTCTTAGAATTATTTCTCGTGTGGATATGATATAATTATATAAAGAATTGGAATAAGGGCATAGGCCATTGAAATAATACAATTACACCACTAAATCTAAAAAAAATAACAATTAGATCTCTAAACTAATCAATTTTATTCAATTAATCTAATTTACAGGTTTTGTAGGTTAATAACAGGTCACCCAAAATTTAAAAAATATATATATATTTTAATTATTATTTAAAAATAATAATTAAAAAAAATTGTTTCCCGTCTCAGCCAGAGACGAAGAAACTCGGGGAATCCTTTTCTTTTTATTATTTTAAATTATTATTTTTAAATAATATATTTAAAAAAATATTTTAAATTTTGAGTGACTTATTATTAACTTACAAAACCTGTAAATTGACTTAATTGCATGAAATAGTAGGAATCGAATTGTTTTTTTTTTTTTTTTTAAAGTTCGGTAGCCTAATTACTCTACTGTGTGGAGTTTGATGCCTATTTGACTCTTATTCCTAAAGAATTTAAGTAACAATAATCATTCGTCACAAGACGTTAATGGAAACCAAACATTTGGGTCGCATTCATGGCACGAGCATTTATGCACATGAGGGCAAGGTTACAGGTATTCCGTTGTGAATTTAATTGGGTGGACAGTCCAATAGTAGTTAGCACTTAGCAGGGTCTTTTTTTTTCTTTTTTTTTTTTTTTTCTCATTTTTATAAATAAATGAGGTCATTCTAAAAGTATAAGTGCAATATTTAAAATTAATACTCTAAAATATATGATTTTTATTTTAAATAAGTATAAACAGTGTAAATATTAAATTTTGTGATGTTGTTAATCTTGCGCGGCATAAAATTTGGATGGTATTTAGTGGGACAAAAATGGGTTGGTCAGATCTCCTGGGTGTCTATCATCTATTATTATTTATTATACCCAATCTTGATAAGATCGTGACTCGTGAGCAGTGGGCAGTGGCATATATTTATTATTCTTGAGATGTTGATAGTTATATTTAATATTTATCATTAAAACAAGTTATTTGGATCAGATCACTATTTTTTAAGGAGTTTTTTTTTTTTTCTTTAAATTCTGATATTTTTGGTACTACATACATGATAAGTTGAAACAAAGGGTATTTGGACAAATATGATTAAGGCCTGACTTATAGGCCAATTTTGGCTTTTTTGATCACTATTAATTGTTTGATTTAGTTAAAATATCAATATAAGTGTCTAGTTAATTAGCTTTTTGCAACTTCAAAATGTTCAAATTCAAAAAGTTACTCCAAACAACTTTTTCAATTAACTTTTTTTAAAAAGAAATTATACCAGACAGCTATTAGCTAACAGTTAATTTACGAAACACTTTTCTACCACAGCTAATGTTATCAACTAATTATACCCTCTAATTAACACAATCAGCTAACAACCATTTACCAAAGAGGGCCTAAATGCATGTCCATTAGAATGGTCAGTGTCAATAAGTATATAGAATATGAATATATAGATACAAAAACATTGGGTGATTGCATTTTATGCATGGATTGGGTTTGCATGCATGCAGGGTTTTCAGGCGGAGCTCTGAGAGCGTGCTGCGGCGGCGGAGGTCCGTACAACTTCAACCCCTCCGCACAGTGCGGTAACGAGGGAGCAAGAAGCTGTGACAACCCTTCCTTCTACGTTAACTGGGACGGCTATCACTTAACGGAGGCTGCCTATCAATTCATTACCACCGCTTTGTTAGAGGGTCCGTACACCTATCCTCGTATGAACAATTTGTCTCCCTTCGATTCTCGTCTGCAAACATCCCCACTTGCCCAGATTTAATTCATACCACATTCATAAAATAAACCCATTTTTTACAAACCAGATTAACGATTCATTGTTAGATGAGATGCATAGATGAAATTCGTGTTTGTATACGTTACTATCAGCTTCCTCCTTAATTGCTCTATGACGTGGCAAAAGGATGTAATATAGGGTAAGGTACAGGGATTCTTATGCGACCGGTCACTCATCATTAGGTACGCCAAAATGTACTACAAAGTGTTAAGAAATGCACCGTTAGGTGTGGTGCATTTTTGCATTTCAATCTGGTGCATTTCCGAACATTGTAGTGCATTTATGCATACTTAATGGTGCAATCTGCACGGGTCACACGGGAAGTCCTGTCCGCATTTTGATAAGTATGGTACAAATTTTTTTTTAAGTATTATTAATTTTATTACAAGGTAGTATTTGTGCAAGGAAGTGCATGTCTTTTTTATTTTAATTTTTAGAAAGTGGGTTTGGGCTTGGGCTTTTGAAATGTTGTGTACATTGGATTGGGTTTGTACTTTGTACTATGTATCCTCTACAAATTAAAATTTAGATTTGAAGTTAAATGA